TTTTGTTTTATCTTATTTCTTTAAAAAGATGTGTCTCTAAATCCAGTCTCATTTTTTAGTTGCCACCCCTTATATACTTGAAAATATATTTTTAGTAAAAAACATGGTTTTATGTAATATAAGTAACTTTATAGAAGCTTTTCATAAAGCCATTTCTTTTAGTATTTAGTATTCAGTTTAAACTTTTTAAATATTTTATAAAAATTGTTTTGATATTAAAAAAAACTCAAAATTAAATTACATGGATGGTATCAAACTTCCTTTTTAATTAAATGGAAATTTGTGCATGCAAGAATTATTTTATACTATTAACATAAGCTGCTAATTTGAATGTTTGTTATTTGTGTTTCCATTTAAAAAAATTAAATAGATTTTGACCGTCTTAAAAAAACAATTGACTGTGGATTCCATGTGTTGGCCAATTCTAGGAAAAAAATTTTAGCGGTGCACAGTGGGCCAGAATTTTTTTTCTGTGGCCAAAAGTCCCAAAAAAGTCAAATCTTCTAAACTTTTTTTTTATTTCATTATTGAAACAAAGGTGCTTTACTCCACTCAAAAATGTATCCGCTTAATTACTAGAGATGAAGGCAAGCTTGCTAGAACCATTCATAATGGCTTTAAAATTGTCAAATTTTCGCAAATTTTTTTTTTCAAAAATACTTATCCTCAAAATTTACATAACTTTTTTCAATTAAAAAAGCTTTGGACTATTTTTATTTTAAATAAACATATTAACTTAGTACTTATAAAAAGTATATGTTTTAGTTATATATTTGTATTTAATTTATTCATAATATGTCTTAGAATTGTTGGTATTTTAGAGGTGTTTTTCTAAATTTCCTCATCTTCCTTTTTCTAAATGCCACTCGAAGATTGTTTAATTTCTGATTTTTGCATTTATTAAACGACAGTTATTGTTTTAAAAAAAACCCAGCTGCGACCATGTATTCTTTATGATATATTTTTTAGTTCAAAAACGACGACTTTTTTTGCTTTTATAAAAAGACCGATTTAAAGTTAAGGTATTTGTTTAAGGAATATAGTTTTTTTTTTTTTTTTAATTTTATTAAATACATCGAACCGTTATTATTTAAAATAAATTTTATTTTATTATTTTAATATTTTCATAAAAGGAAAAAAAAAGAAAATCATTTCACTATAAATGCGTAAAAATTGAATATTTAACTACTCAATTCCAACCAAATCCTGCTCTCTTGAAATTGGAATGAATGATATTTAGGAAGTATAACGGTTGTTTAATACTATTTAAAAAAATCAGCTGCGACTAGCTATAACTTAGACTTAAAATCGATTTTGAAATTTCATGATTTTAGACTAATTTCATTCTTATTTTACAATGCATTGTGACGTGAAAAAATTTATTTTTAAGTCAGCATAGTAATAAAATGGCAAATCAGTGTTTTCATCTTCAGATGATTCGATAATATTATTGTGCTCATTTAAATTTCTTATTTCATTTATGTTTATTGGCTTAAGTTCCTCATTTCTATCAAAAATCATCATCTAATCTAAATCATTATATTATTCATTCGCATATAAATATCGTCATTAGCATCATTTGTATTTTTCTTTTCAGTTTCTTGAAAAAGAAGATTAACTGCATCTCCATCTAGATTCATTTTTTTATGCTTACATTTTGATCTTGCACAGTTTAGAGATGAAAGAATTGGATCACTCGAAAGCATTAAATAATTGAATTGGTCCGCCATTGTAGCTTTTCGATCAAATTTAAGAGTGTGTTGTAAACAAATATTTTTATTATCTTTATTCCGAGCTTCAATTGCTTCTTCAGAGTACATTCCAATTGGTAGCATAAATCTAGATATTGTCAGACTACTATGAATGAGTAGTTTGTGTACTGAGGCTGACATGTAAAACCATGAGTACTCTAGAACAAAAATATTTGCTATTTCCAAACAATATGTTTCATATTTGGCTATGTTGATTTTTTTATTCAAATTAATGACAGATAGAATAATGTATAGCCTGTATATTTAATCATTCTTGACTCCTGTTATTCGCGAAAACTCTGCTTGCTGATGAAAGGCACGACAAGCAGTATTGGCATCATTTGATGTTGCAGATCCGCCTTGAAGAGGCATGTGAACAATAAGGCCAATTTTTGCAAACTCACGCTGAACAAACATTTTTTTTACAGCTGCTAATTTTATATTTTCAGGTCCACGTATTTGCCATTCTTTAATATCAAGTTTATAACTTATATGTAGAGTACACTCGAAACATCAAATCTATGTATGTAATGACAATAACCCAAACTCTAAGCTTTGTGAATCTGTTGAACGGATCAGAGCTTTATCTAAGTTTTTCATTGATCTTTGAGTACATTTGCTAATATTACAAATTTGAGCCGATTTATTGTCACAAATTGCATAAACTGCTTTTCCATCAATCATTGTAAGTTTAAGATTGAATCTTACTTCAATTACAAGCTTCTTTTCAGCTTCTGGTTCCATTAATTCTACATCAATAATCATTGCACTCAGACATTAAAACTTTGATCAGACATTTAAACATTACATTCATCATTATTGTTTATTTGGACGGAAAAATCTTTGTTAATACTGTTTTTGGCTACTTGCACCGTCGAAGCCCCATTTGCAATTCAAAGTCATTCCTAAACAGGATTCAAAGGAATCAATTTAAGATATTCTGTTTTTAACAGTAGTTAGTTGCAGCATTCAATGAACTGTATGGTATAAGAATTCTTTCAGTGGAACTTTGCCTTTCATTCCATTTTCAGCTATATAAATACCATCAGGATAACACAGCTATATAATAACAGCTATATAAATACCATCATTAATAACAGCTATATAAATACCATCAGGATAAATTTTTTTTTCGTCGCGAATGTTGTTATATGTAGGATATATATTTGTATTACACTTAATTGAGTTATTTCGCATAGCTTGATATTGCACCTTCGATAAATTCATAGCTGTTATTAATGCTAATCCCTCTAGTGGCGTATTAGGTACAATTTGCTTGTTTTGATCGAGAATAAAACATTTTGTTTGATTTGCCAAATCTGTATTTGACAAACATTCTTTTAATACATACAGAAAACTATATCGCTTTTTTTTTAACCCCATTTCTGCTGCTTGTAAGATTTTATCATGATCATGATTTACTAACAATATGGATGCGTGCCGACGTTTATTTCGGTAGGACATATCTTCGTATTTCTGACATGGTCTTCCAAATGACTGTTCATTTAAACAAGAAACATTTAAATCGACGTTTTGTGATGATTGTTCGCTAGGTTGCTTATTAATTAAAGACAAAACTTTATTATTTAGTTAAAATGATTCACCACTTAAAAATTTGCAATTATTTCGAAAATATTTTTTGCTAAATTTTGATCGGCATTTGCATACAAATTTGAGAAGAGCTTTTTCAAAACAAGTAAAACCATCATTTAAATTGGTGGATACGTTTAATTCGTTTATGAGCATACTATTATACTGATCTACGATTTGTCTTGAAGTAAGTTGTGATGAAATAGTGTCTTTAATTTTTTCAAATACTTCAAGCCGAGTTATGTTATTAAACATTTTTAAAAGATAACTTGATTATTTATAAAATAAGAGTTTTAATAACGCTACTTCAAGAGAAATTTTAAATAACTATAATTTAGTGTAAATTTATTCAAATATTTTTATTACTCTTGGAACATAATTGCAATCAAATCGCTCCAATTATCAACTAACTAGTCTTCATATAAACATATAATATCATATAAACTTCAAATTTTCAGACAAATACACAATGCATTGTAAAGTAAGAATGAAATTAGTCTAAAATCTTGAAATTTCAAAATCAATTTTAAGTCTAAGTTATAGCTAGTTGCAGCTGATTTTTTTAAATAGTTTTAAACAACCGTTATACTTCCTAAATATCATTAATTCCAATTTCAAGAGAGCGGCATTTGGTTGGAATCGAGTACTTAAATACTCAATTTTTACGCATTTATAGTGAAATGATTTTCTTTTTTTTTTCTTTTTTTGAAAATGTTAAAATAATAAAATAAAATTTATTTTAAATAATATCGGTTCGATGTGTTTAATAAAATTAAAAAAAAAAAAATTTATATTCCTTAAACAAATACCTTAACTTTAAATCGGTCTTTTTATAAAAGCAAAAAAAGTCGTCGTTTTTGAACTAAAAAATATATCATAAAGAATAGATGGTCGCAGCTGGGGTTTTTTTTGAACAATAACTGACGTTTAGTAAATGCAAAAATCAGAAAATTAAACGATCTTCGAGTGGCATTTAGGAAGATGAGGAAATTTAGAAAAACACCTCTAAAATACCAACAATTCTAAGACATATTATTAAATTAAATACAAATATATAACTAAAACATATTTTATATCTTTTTATAAGCACTATGTTAATATTATTTTTGTTTAAAATAAAATTAGTCCAAAGCTTTTTTAATTGAAAAAAGTTATATAAATTTTGAGGATAAGTATTTTTGAAAAAAAAAATTTGCAAAAATTTGACAATTTTAAAGCCATTATGAATGGTTCTAGCAAGCTTGCCTTCATCTCTAGTAATTAAGCGGATACATTTTTGAGTGGAGTAAAGCACCTTTGTTTCAATAATGAAATAAAAAAAAAGTTTAGAAGATTTGACTTTTTTGGGACTTTTGGCCATGGAAAATAAATTCTGGCCCACTGCGAGGTGGTACTCCTCCGTCCCAAAGAAACTTAACAGAAAATCGGCATTTTTTCGTAAAAAAAAAAATATTTGCCAGAAAAATGTAAACAAAAAAAAAAGGTCTTCAAATTTTATTTTGGGTGGCCCCCAAACACTGTCAAAGCTGTCAAAAACGGTCTAGAATAGCCCCTGTATATACATATATGTTTACATATACATACATATATATATTTATATATTTTAAAGGATAAAAATAAATAAAAATTACTAATAATATTCATTTGTAAAAAAGCTACCTGACAAACTCTTTGCATTACAAGTTAACCATATTTCAAGATCATCTGCATTGACACCAAGTAAAATGGCAACTGAAAATAATAATAAAAATGCAAATAAACATAATAAGAAAATATGTAAATAATCTTTTCATTAAGCTAAATAACCTTTATCAAGACACTCAAGATTTTCAATAAAAACACCAACATCAGCTTCTGAACCAAATATTATATCACCAAGATTTAAAATTGACGATAACACACCAAATATACTAGTTATTTCCTAAAAAAAAAAAAAATTGATGTCAAAGTTTAAAGTTATTTACTTAAAAATTTCTATATCAGTATTGTGTAACTAGAGAGGCTATATGCCTAAATCTGCAACAATTTATATTATCAACCCTCAGAATTAGGGTTGTCATTCAGCAATGCCAACCTAACTGCTGACCTAAAAGTGTTTGAGGTCAGCAAAAAATTGCCAACCTCAATTCTATCTTTTATGGTCAAATTCATTTTTCCTAATTCTGAGGGTTGTATTATACATTTATATATATCAACATATATTAATATATTAATATATTGATATATACACATATATAAACATTGATATAAGCAACATCTTGGGCTGTAATTCTGAATACTATACAAATTTGATGACAGCCTTTTTGCTAACATTGTCAAAAAGCCCACATTGCTGTCAGTAAAACCACACAGTTACATTACATATACTATATATAAGGGTGTAGATCAAAGTGTCAATAAGTAGTATCTATGTGTGAAAGAGATCTATTACAAATAAATATAAAACCTCTGGAAAAAAGCCGACATGTCTAAGTGCATCTATAAATATGTTATACTTTCGACTCCATGAAATCAGATCTTCACTAAAACCCTCTCCATAGTTCAAATACCTAGAGATACAAGAAGTAAAAGTAAATAAAGTAAATAAATGTAGTAAATAACTTGAGACATAAAAGATGTAAATAAATTAAACTAAAATAAAAAATGTTTATTTGAGTGGAAGACTTTAAATAATTTTTTCACAAGTGCAGAATGGTTATTTGAATGGTATAAGTTACAATTTTTCAGAAGAATGGTCATTAAACTACGTATTATTGAACTATGTATAGTATAATGAAAATATAATGAAAATATAATAAAAATATAATGAAAATATTATGTTAGAAGTTTTTGTGGTTAAGCTTATCATGCTCCAAAAATTAATCAACTTTTTCATTTTTCAAATTCTTCAGATGTAAGAAGAAAAATAAAGCACTAAAATAATTTTATTTATTTTTAGTTAAAAAAAATCAGAAAACAATTATTCAAATAAAATATTTTTTATTCAACAAAAAAAAAATTACTATGTATTTATATTTCTGACTTGCTCATATTTTACTGAGCATGTAACACTGTAACATTAACAACACTGTTAATGAACTAGTAAGCCGTTGCATAAGATAACAAATAATATAAATCTAGTTTCTAATAGTTATGCTAAAAGTCTACTAGTGACAGTTATATCACTTTTTTTAGTATTTATTACTAATGTAAATGTTTTTATGATGTAAACAGGAAATGTTGTGTAAAAATTGAACAACATCACAGTGGTCATTTTTGGGGTCAAAATCTGCAGAAAATCCCAAAAGTGTCATGAAAAGATTTTTTAAATTTATGGTATTCATCAAAAAATAGGATAGTTGGAGAGCCATAATATGAGGTTTAAGAGAAATTGAAGTAAAAATAGGTTGGCTATGAGTAGAACAACAGGAGGAAAAAAGTAGTGAAAAATTTACTGAAAAATGACTATTTTTAAAGTGGATCTTAGAAAATAATGGGTGAAAATTTTCAAATTTTTGTTTAATAATTTTAGTAATACATATAAAAAAATATTAGAAAAGTAAAAAAAAAAAATTTAAAAACTATATTGCTATGTATAGTAATGATTTTTTCAAACATCAGAAAAAAAGTGTACTACATGTCAAAAATAGTGCTGCAACTTTTTCCCAACAAATCCCAACAAATTGGGACCAAATCAGGTGAAAAGAGGAAATAAAGACCTTTAAAATGACACATGAAATTGTTGCGGGGAGTTGCGGGAGCTTATTTTATTGACTTTTAAAGTTCGCGCAAGCATGTGTGTGCGTGCGATCGTAATTGTCGGCGAGCGTAAAAATTCGAAATTGTTTATCCTGCGCCAAATTTTTGGAAATTCTGTAACTCGGCCATTTTTTAATGGATTTTTATGATTGATACCTCAAAATTTATGTCTTTGAAAGACCTTTCATGCTGGTGTCATTAAACTTGAAGAAAAAGGCCAATGGATGTGATCTTTCATCAACCAGTGGACAGGTACCTCTTCAAAATCTGCTTGAGCACACAGCCAAAAGGATCTTTCTAGAAGATGCTGAACAAATTACAATGCTTCAAGCATTAGCTCAAAAAAAGCAGACACCCATCCGGCTCAGGTTTTACTTCAAATTTGGCTTAGATGGAGTTGGATCTTTTCCCACCTTCATGCAAAAAGTAGATGGTGAAGTCCCAGATGGATCAACATATCTTGTCAGCCAGATGGTCCCATTACAAGCAGAAGTTGAAGATGATGACACCATTGTCTACAAAAACCCTCACCCAAACTCTGCTTCTTCATGTCGGCCAATTCGAATTGCAATTGAGAGGGAGAAAAAGTTCTCAATCCAGAGAGAAGCTTCAAGGTTGATGAAAGAAGTTGAAGAACTGACAGAATTTTCACTTCTATCTGATCCTCAAGTAATTGTGACTTTCAAGGGTTTGTTGACCATGGTTGATGGCAAAGTTTTGAATGAACTTACATCAAATCCTGCATCTTCTAATTGCCCCATCTGCCATGCCAAACCAAAGGAGATGAATAATCCCAAGGGTGTCTTTACACCTAAACCTGGCACATTGAATTTTGGCCTAAGCATCTTGCACTTTGGCTTGCGGAGTTTTGATACAATTTGCAACATTGGATATCGCCAAGATGTCAAAAAGTTCCATCTTCATATGAGCCCTGATGAAAAAAGACTGGTTGCAAATCGGGAGACACGAGTCAAGCAAGAATTTCGGGAGCAGCTGGGTCTAATTGTTGACCAGAGGCGGGATGGAGGTGCTGGCACTACAACAACAGGAAATGTTGCTCGCAAAGCTTTTCAAAACCCAGGTAGCTACACTTGCAAGTTTTGGTACTTTCACCAAACTTTTTGGGAAGCATTCAGAAATAATTTAGTTTTTAGATATTATGTCTTGTCAAGTTGCATGAGCATCACATCATAGCTTTGCTGCCAATTTGGAGAAATTCAAATCTTGATATCTGTATATTCCTACATATTTTCTTTCTTTTTTAGAAATTATTGCAAGAATCTGTGATGTCCCTGTCAAACTGGTTGAAAATCTTGGAACACTCTGGTCTGCCCTTGCATCTGGATATGCCATTGATCCATACAAGTTTGGAGTTCTGTGTGAAGAGACTGAGAAGATTTATTTTGACCATGTAAAATGGTACTGGTTGTCCCCAACAATTCACAAGGTTCTGAAACATGGAAAACAAATCATTGAAGCTTGTGTTCTTCCAATTGGAATGACCAATGAGGAACCAGGAGAGGCTAACAACAAATTTCTTCGAAAAATCCATCTTTATCATGCTCGAAAATCATCCTGGCTCAATGGCATGTCTGACCTTTTCTTGAGACTGATGGACATCAGTGATCCAAAGATACAGGTAATTTTGGAATTAAGCATATCCAAAATTTTTCCAATTTCAATAATTTTTCATGCTTATTTAATTTAAATGATTTCTGAAACAGGACCTTTTTTCATTTGAATTTCCCAATTTAGCTTTGATAGCAATATTTTCTTTCATCCATTAAATGTTATATATAATTTTTAGGCTTATGCCCACTGCAAGAAAAAGAAGCACAATTCAGAGATCTTGCCTGAACCCATCAAGAAACTCTTGAAGATGCCGGAACTTCAAATTTCTAGAGATGCCTCTGATTCAGAAGAAGAATAAAGAAGTCAAACAAAGCAACCAAAGCCTCTCATAAAAATTAAAAAAATTCTCATACATTCCCAATTTTGTTATTTATCTAATGTTATTAGTTTCAACCAGATCAAACAAAATTGATATGCTTAACTCTATGTAAAAAAATATTTTCTTTGATGTAAGCACTTATGTTGTGCCTAATATAACCAACTAGAACCTCATTTGTGTTAATTTTTTTTAGCAATACATTTAAAAACTGTCATACATGATGGGCAGGTTGGTAATCTCCCTGTGGGTATTCCTCATGCTTAAGTAAAAACGTTTTCTGCCATTATCATGTTTGATATGATATTTGTGTGAAATTTCTTCTATTTAATAAATCCATTTTGATCTTTAAGGTAATGAGACACATAATTCATTTTTGCAACCTAGCATTAATTGCAAAGTGTCAAATCTAACTTAAAAAAGTGAATATTTTATTTTTTAAAGCAATTTTTTGGATTATTTATAATTTTTACTTCAAATATGTTCATACCGGCTCTTTTTGAACACATAAAAAATGTTTTAGATTTTCTGAAGGTTTTGACCCCCAAAATGACCACTGTGAACATGTACATTTTAATAAATTCAAATATTTTTTTAAGTAATTTGGATTAACAACAACAATATATTTTTGAGGTGGTTTAGTGGTAAAGCGCATGCTTTGTAACTAAGAAGTCTTTTAAACAACACACTCTTATGGGTGCGTTGCATAAAAGACTTTACTTTTACTTTATAAAAAACTTTTTTTTAGTTCTGCACTCTACTTGATTCTTAAAGTTGATGTTCATAGCAACATGATTAAAATGACCCACGATACCTTGGGAAGGTAAAATCATGTAGAAAAAAAATCATAACATATTTCTAATCACAAAATGTTTTTATTAAAAATAGAAACAAATTAATTTCTGCAACAACTATTTTACAGCAAAACCATGTAACTGTTGTGCAATATTTCTTTAGCTATTGGCTTTGGATAAAAATAGTTTAAAATGTATGCTTTTTAGAAAATGAAATTCTTTATTGCATTAAAAATAATTCCACACCAACCAGTGTTGAGTAGGTGATTCCAATAAATGATTAGACAATTCCTCATCTGTCCTCCCAGCAAACATCAGTAAAAAAATGTAAAAATTTTGTACATCCTAAAAAGTAAAAACAAAATATACAAAAAAGAAAATATTAAAAAGATTTTATTGTTTTAATATTTTGCTTTTACAAAAATTTAAAATTAAAAAAAGTAATAAGAAAAACAACATTATTAGTCTAAATAACTATAAAAGTTAAAAATGAAAAAATAATAATTTAAAATATTAAAAATAAAAACCGCAGTTGTTGAAGCAACTCTTGAGCTCTCCAGAAAATACTCACTTACATGAGCTAAAAAAAAAAGATGCAGGTACTTCTAATGCAACAAAAAGTGTCAATTATTGTATATTATTATTATTATCTGAATAATACATCAAAAAACATTAAACAATAAATTTTATATTGAAATAAAAATCATTAGGGAAACAAACAAATTGGCAAATGGTTTTAAATTGCTGTAGGGGTGTGTTAGTAGTGTGCTGTAGTAGGTTTTAAATACTTTGGTAGTGATGGAGAGATAGAGCGCTAGCTTTAAAAGCGAGAAGCTCCAAGTTTGATTCCTGCAACATCACTAACTATATAGTGCTCAAGGAATTGTTTTGCTTAACTTATGATCTAATTTAAATTATACTTCAAGTTTTTACTTTGAAAAACCCATGAGACCATTATTACATGTTTGTAAGTTTTAATTTAATGTTTATTGCATACAGCTATTTAAATTTGTAACATATATATATATATATATATATATATATATATATATATATATATATATATATATATATATATATATATATATATATATATATATATATATATATATATATATATATATATATATATATATATATATATATATATATATATATATATATATATATATATATATATATATATATATATATATATATATATATATATATATATATATATATTTATATATGTATATATATACCTTTAACAACAGATAAGTTTGGAGAAAAACAGATTTGTAAATATTTTCCAAATCTAGTAGATTGGTCATTCAAACTTGTTTGTGCTGTTCCAAATGGCTGAAGAATCAAATCAACCTTTAATTAAAAAGTACAATCAAAGAATATACAAAGATCAATCAACAACATATAAACTTTCATAAAACTAAATTATAGAATAAAAGCAACTCTAAATGAAAAATTAAATATAAGAACTAACCTTTGAAATTTTTTCTATCAAGGAACTTTGATAAAAATGATTGCACATAGATAAAACCTTCTTAACAAGAGAGTTAACAACTTCTGTTTTCCCAGATCCTGATTCACCCATAACAACAAAACATTGGCTTGTTTGTGTTTTAGGAATATGTTCAAGTACTCGTTTGCACATAACAGAATATAGTTCATTTGAATCATGTTTCTTTTAGAAAAAATATTATTTTTTAATTATGACATTAAAAATATAAACTTTAGTACAGAAAAATAATAAATTAAAAATATGTTTCTTAGCAAATATTTATGTAAAAAAAATTATGATTTCAAATGATTTCTTGTATGATATTAAAATAATAATTTTTAATATTATCTTATTATAATATAGAAGAAAAGAATACCTCTAACTTCTTGTAAGGATTAACATAAAGCAATATGTCACCAATATATGTCTAAAGAATTAAAACATGGTTAAATAAATACAATAAAAAGTATAATAAATAATGTGAATTATTTATTATAACTTCTAACCAAGGTTGGTTAGCTCCAAAATTATTTTTAACAATACTAATGTTTTTCACAATAGTGATATACAATAGTGAAAAACAATATTATCATTAGTATTGTTAAAGATATTTTTATTGGAACTAATCAACCTTGGCTCATGCCCTAAATCTAACACTAATAACTTTTTGTCATTATACAAACTTATTTGAAACAAATTACCTCTTAGATTAATTAGAAAAAGTTTCAATGCCCATTTAATAAAAAAATGTAACTTGTATCAAACTACCCCTACCATGAGGTATATTGATACAAGCCAGGGACTGATCAAATTGACAACAAATTTATCCTCCAGCCAATATCATTGTTGTTGGTGACTTTAATGCTCATCACACTGTAAGGCTTGGCTCTAGTCTCAGCGACTCTGCAGGCATTAAAGCCAACAACTTTTGCCTTTCTCAATCTCGAACACAAATAGTCAACTTTCCAACTCACTTTCCAGACAATCCAAATCATTAATATTATCTACATTTATATTATTAATCCAAATCATTTATATTATATTATCTATTTATATTATTTACTCAACTTATGTCTTGATTTTGATCCTAGTCTATGCTCATTTTTTTGACATTCACCCTTAGGTGCTTCTGATCAGGGTTTGATCTCTCTAAAAATATTAACTCATTCTTATTCATCATCTGAATCTTCCTATCATTGTACCTCTTACAACTACCTTAAAGCTGACTGGGACTCTTTCCATGATTTTCTTTGTGATGGCCCTTGGGTAGAAATCTTATGTCTTCCTGCTGACAAATGTGCTTCTTATATAACTTCTTGGATTCTGGCTGGCATAGAATCTTTCATCCCCTCTCGATGACTCCAAGTCAAGCCTCACTCTTCGCCATGGTTTACCTCATATTGTGCTGCTGCAATTGCCAATCGTAACCATACTTCCCTATCTATCAGCAAAACAATTCTCCAGAAAACAGAAGTCTGTTTATTACTGCTAGAAACCATTGTAAAAAGGTTTTGTCTAACGTCAAAGCCCGCTAATCTCAGGTCATGAAATCTCATATATCATCTCAAAAATTTAGCCTTTGTGACTTCTGGAGAATCTTTAACAGTATCAATAATAAGGGCAAACCTGTTATATCTCTCTTGTATGGTTCAAATTTTGCCACCTCACCTAAAAACAAAGCTGAATTTTATGGTAAAAACTTCTCATCAATATCTTCTCTTGATTCCACTAGTTGGATTCTACCTGATATAGCCAACAGGTGGATTAATCTATTGCTTCACGTGATTTCTATTGCTTTGCTGATTAATCTATTGCTTAAAGTGATTTCCTGCTTAGACTCTTCTACAGCTTGTGGTCTGGAAAACATACCTGTTATAGTCTTACAGAAGTGTAAAGTTTCAGATGCTGCTTTTCAGCAGCATCTGAAGCTTCAGTTATCCTTATTTTCAAAAATTCTGGAGTGCAATCTGACTGATCAAACTGCTGCCCCATTAGTCTTCTAACTATCATAAGCAAGGTTTTTGAATTTTTCATTAATAAACACTTAATCTCTTATCTTGAATCTAATAACTTGCTTTCTGATCATCAATATGGATTTGAATTCTACTGCTGATTTGTTAACAGTAATAACTGGTAGGTTTTACTGTGCATTAGATAGATGTGGAGAGGCTAAGGTTATCACTCTTGACATTTCTAGAGCTTTTGAAAAAGTTTGTCATGCTGATCTTCTCCATAAGCTTTCTTCTTATGGTGTATCAGATGGTGATGGTGTTAACATCTTTAAGATTATTGAATCATTCCTTAACAATCAAAAAATATAAAAGTTGTCCTTGATGGACAGCACTCTTCTTCATATCCTGTAACTTCAGGGGTTCCTCAAGGTTTTATCCTTGACCCTATACTTTAATTTACACTTTTTTAATTTACATTAACCTTGTTCACTAATGATAGTACCATTTATTCTTGTCTTGATAAGAAGCCAATACTTTCTGATTATTTGGAGGGACATTTGAGATTGAAATGGATCTCACATTTACTACAGTATGGGCTCTCAGAAGCTGACAAACTTTAACTCAGACTAGAAGAGACTTAAGTCTCTTCCTTTTACTGTCACTGTTCTTAAGTGCTCCAACAAATTCTTATTTGTCTAGTTTTTTTTCTCGAACATCAATTCTTTGGAATTCGCTACCTTCATCTTGTTTTCCTGATTCATATATTTTGCAATCTTTTAAGTGGACTGTTAATCATTATCTTGCTCTATAAACTTCATCTTTTCTCTTCCAGCAACTTCCAACTTTAATAATGGTTGGTTGCAGCCTTGTTGGTAGGGAAGATGTTGAAAAAAAAAATTTCTGTTCCTTAAAACACAATTTCTGCATACCTGCTACAGAAACCATAAACTAAATTACTATAATAATAGAAAATATTTATAAATATATTTAGATTTTATATTAGATTATATAATTATATCCAAAATTTAATTGTTATAACTAGGCTTAATTATTATTTAACTCAATGTGATTCTAAAATTAACATTTAAAGTAATTCCCCTGCTAATGTTGATCATTAGATCAACATTAGCAGGGGAATTAATTTAAATCTCTAAATCCCAACAGCATTTTTATCAGAAGGATAAAAGCATGACAAAAAAGTTTCAGGGATAAAAATTGTAACAAAATGACAAATAAAACATTTTTATTTTATTTTTTTCAATTTTAAAAACGAAAGCTCTAAAACATGAACCTTGACAAACGAGGTCATTGCTAGCAATTCCAGAGGGCAAACAAAAATAGTTTGACGTCTGACAAAAAACTTTCATAAAATTTACTCTCTTATATCTGATTTTCTAATTAAGCTTAAACTTAATTTGAATTATCTGATTTTCTAATTAAGCTTAAACTTAACTTCTAATTAAGCTTAAACTTAAACTTAATCTTATATCTGATTTTCTAATTAAGCTTAAATTTTTTGTTTCAATTAATTTGACTCAATCTGTTTCTAAGCATATGTAGAAACCATACCATATAAAAAATATATTAAGTTTCATACGGCTTCACTTAGATATTTTTTATGTCTTGAGACCACTATTGATTAAAAAACGCGAGAAACAAAGTTTATTTCTTACCTTAAAACAAAGTTAAATTCTTATCTTCAAAAGCTTTTTTTTTTCAAACTAAGCTTTTGGAAGTAAAAACTCCTTAGTATCAAATGCAACCAATTTGTATGAAACATTCCATATATATTTAAAAAGGGATGAGGAATCTAATGAAATGTAGAATCATTTTAGTATTTAAACATATTTCTTTATTTTTTAGCATTTAAAAACTTTGAGGATAATTTTTATAGAAAAAACAGTGTTTTTTGAAAGAGTTTATGTGGAAATGGCAATTAAAGCCTTTCCTTAATTTGAAACAAGTATTTATTTATGTTTCCTTGAAGTTTTGGTAATTAGGATTTGTATAGAGCAATTATGAATATAATGCTTTTATCTCTTCGCATAACGTATTGCTTGGATTTTGTTTTGTTTGTTTTCTTATTTTATTTCAGTTCTATTACAGAGCTGATTTTTATTACTTAAGAACAAGGTGTTTTGTTAAAAAGTCATCTCTTTTTCTAGCACAAAAGATTTGTAGTTCTTGCTTACAAAGCAAGCGCATAACCACTAGTCCATTAAATATGCATGCAAATGTGCTGAAGGTGCACAACTGTGCACCTTCTATTGAGTAATAGAACTATAAATGATACAAACAAATCTCTTTAAATCCTGGATGAAATGAATGATGGTAGTGGTTTGTCTTGTGAATCTTTAGAATTTGATGACAATGAATTCCAAGAGAATAAGACTGTTACTTACTCACCAACAGCTCCATCATTAGCAAGTCAGTTATCATAATTAGAAATTATTTCATTATCACTGTCGATGATGATTCAACAGAGAAAATAGTTGTGGACTTTAATATTATTAATTCAAAAATTAATGATAACAAAGGACTTTATACAATAACATTTGCTGATAATGATGTTACTGTAAATAAGGAAAAAAAAAATGATTAAAGATAGGGTTGTTCGCCGAAAAACAAAACTTGCGAAAATTTCGCATCTTTATCTACCGTAATAGAATTGTTATTGCGGAAGTTGCACATGCAAAAATGCACATTCCGTAACGCGCCATACGAAAATATAAATAGTAAATAAAATTCCGTAATAAAGCATTGCGAAAGAAAACTTGCGAAACAAATCATTTCGTAAGAATACTTACGAAATAGTTCCTTACGGAAAAAGCATTCCAGAATGTGTAGTTACGAAAAAGACGCAAAAGATTTTATGTTACGATATATTTAAGATATTAGCTGTTAACAGTTTAAATAATAAATAATAAAATTATAAAAAAATGTTGTCAAATGATTCTTCAAATGTTTATACAAATATACCTAATATATATATATATATATATATATATATATATATATATATATATATATATATATATATATATATATATATATATATATATATATATATATATATATATATATATATATATATATATATATATATATATATACATATATTTACAGTAAAATCCCGTTAAGTTGGACTCTCAATGAACAGATAAACAGTATGCCTTTCTTTTTAAAAAGTATAAAGAGGATGTGTGATAAACAATTAAATACTTTATTATAAAGAACGAGAGATCTCTCTAAAGGTAAATGATATCAGAAAGAGTAAAAAGAGAAGAATTATATGTGAAACCTGCGGGATGTGAACCTGGGTCTACGCGGCCAAATGTCTCAACTGAATGAGCTATACGTTCATTCAACTAAGTGAATAGTAATATTTATTTAATATATAATTAAGAAACTATATAAAACAGAATTTACAGAAAGAGATACGTATGCAAATAGGATTCTATATATCAGGAAAATGAATAGTAATGTGAACCTTTAGATGCTTATAATTAATATCTGGACTCAAAAACTAGTTACTTTTAATGGAACACAATAGGCTGTAGGAGCCTCAGGGAAATTATATTCAGAAATGGTTATATTAGACTCAGAGTTAGCTAAAAATTATTACAAAGTATTTAGGACAGATGTCTAGTACAAAAAGCAAAAGATTTAAAGCAAAATGATTTATATTATTTGAAAAAGTTGTTTTACGTACATTTCATCATAATTTAAGTAGAACTTAGTAAAGCAAGGGAAACGTGTTGAATTAAGCACAATGAACTCAATCTTAAAAGAATAACTAACAGAAGAGAGGTTGTCACTATTGTGAAGGTGACGAAAGATCTGTAATATAGAACATGGAGGTCAAAAAATGCTATCTTAAGTAAAAAGAGTTTGATGAACAAAAGTTACAATGACTGCGGGATGCGAACCCGGATCTCTGCGGCGAATTGTCACATATCTAACTGATTGAACTATACGATCTTATACTTAAATTTATATCTTATTAAAATTAAAAAACAATATTTTCTAAGATCTATACTTCAAAAAGCGTATTCAAACAGGACTCTACATACCTTTAAAATCTGCAAGAACTTTAGTAACGTGCACACTTTTAGAAATTCTTGAAATAGGTATATTTTATCAGAAATATGCTTAAGCTAAAGCATATTTTTGAGCCTCTTTTTACTATTTGCTGAAGCATATTCGAACCTGTTTCAAAAATTTCATATGCTTTAAAAAAAAAAACATGTATATTCCTACCCATCATTCTTATTTTTAATATACGTAATGAGTTCAAAAAACATCGTTGTATATATTTATTATGGCACGTTTCGTAAGTTTATTTCCGTTAAGAATTCTTTCGTATGTTGTGATCCGAAATACTTTCGTTTCGAAAGAAATTTTATTTTTTATCAATATTTCTAAAAATAAAACCATGAAAATTTAATATGTTATTATACTGAAAATAAAAATTCATTATAAACATTTTGGGATTTAAAGATGTTAATTTTTACAATTAAAATCAGTCTGGCAAACAATTTTTTTTTTATAGACTTCAAAATGTGGTTTGGCGAAAATGTTTGTCTCGCAAGTGCGACTTCCGAAACCGCTACTTTCGTATGTTGCAAAATAGTTTTGTTTCATATGTCAACTTGCGAAATGCTAAATTTCAGAAGTGGCTTTTGCGAAATGAACATCGGCGATTTTAAATGTTTTGTAACATTCGGTATGAAAAAATGTAATTCCGTGTTCTCAATCTCCATACGAAAGAATGTTGTTTTTCCGGAATTGCACGAAATCCTCCGGTTAACAACCCTAATTAAAGAGCCAACAGTTCCAACCATAATATCAACCTTTATCAAGACAAATAAAAAACTTCATATCATTAAGACTACAAAATTTACTATTAGTAAAGACAACAGAAAATGGAAAAAAAAATTAAAATTACTAGGACTATCGTTCCATAAACGTAATAAATATAATAACTTGAAAAAAAAAATTTAATCTTTTACCACATATCAAAAAAGTGTAAATTTAATATTTTATACTTATATAAATATAGAAAGTAGCTTATCAAAGTAGTTAGTTTTCTTTTTAGGTATTTTTTATATTTTTACTAATATAAACAAAATTTAGGTGAAAAAAAAAAAGAAAAAAATTGATGTCATTAAAGAAAAATGTTTGTATTTGTTTTCTAAATATCTAAATTAGGAAAATAAGCCATTAAATGAATAAAATTTATATCTTTTTAAAAGTCTTTATTTATTTATAAGACAATATAGTTAGCTATTTAAATAATTTAGCTATAATCAAATATTTAAAATTAGCGAAGCTTGTCTATAAATATGGAATAATGCGTACAACATCAGTTTTTTTTTTTTTACTTTATGCTTTATAATAACATATACTATATAGAAATTTTTTTATAAGGAAACTAATATATTTAAGTGTTAATGTAGTATTGCATTTTTTAAATTGTCAAAATAAATTCCGACAGGAAAAGATTGAAAACAACTGGTTTTATTTAATAACTCAAGTTTCAAAAACTTGAATTTTTTTTGAATGAAATTTTATGAAAACAAATACCAAAGCTTCATTATATCTTTACGCTAGAGAAGAACTAAATATGGAAGTCAGTAAGTAATTAAAAGGACACTCGATTCAAAAAAGCAACCAATGATAACAATAAGAAAAAGTAATTAATAATTTAAAAACATCATTTTTGTGATAGTATAAAGGCATTGTGGGGTTTTGGAGATTGATCTATAAACCTTTGCATATAATTGTTAATGACATTAACACATTAATAATGTATATAGAAGCACAAAAATGGTATGGCATAGCTGATATTGCAGTAAAGTTTGTGCTATTCAGATTTGACCATGAGTGAAAAAGTGACTTGAATATTTTTTTTTTTACTGCAATTATAAATAGCTGCAAATAAAAGTAATTTATTTTCAGTTTTTTTGCCCAAATATTGATTCAGGTTTGTAGCAGATGGAAACTTTCATAAATAATTCAAAATATCTTTTCATAAATATTGAAAAACCTGAATTGATAATTAAAGCATATTGCTTTTAAACAGTGATTTCTGAATTTACGATAATTTAAATAAGAAGTTTTAAAAAAAATTTAATACTGGATTATGGATTGTTAGTTAATTATAAACACTTACATAAATTTGGTCGTTAAGATATCTTTCCTTTAAAATGTCTTTAACTTGTTCTTCGTTAACTATGTCAGTTTCACATAAATCATCGACATCCATGCTTTACTCTTATTGTTTCATAAAATTTCAAAAAATTTAACTTAGTTTGATTTTTTAAATAAATTTATCTCTGGATTAATGGTTAATAATTCTTAAAAAAATTTCTTATAAAAATAAAAAATGATTTGATGTAAATAAACAAAGATCGTCAAAGGCACTGTGTATCGATGCCCGATATATAAGTGAAGCGTATGCGTTTTTTTTTTTTTTTTTTTTTTTTTTGATTTAAAAAAAATAATTTTTTTAGTTTAAAAGCAAACAACTTTATATACAATAACATTATAAAACAATTTTTGAATTTACTTATCCATTTTCTTAATAATAAATGCAATTTTAATTTCAAAGATGCCGCTACGTTAACCTTAACTCTTCTTCATTGAAATTCTTAATATATGACAATTCACTCCTCTCTAAATAATGTATCTATTTTTTAAAAAATTTTGAAATAATAAATACAAAAAGCTTGAAATATTAAATACAAAACTGAAATGTGTGAAATGCCGACTAACTGACAATACTCCCTTAAACAATACTCCTTTAAATAAATCGACTATAAATTAAAAACAAACTCCTATAGGGGGAAGGAATGCCATACCTTTTTGTCACACCCCTTCGCTCTTCCCCCCCCCCCCATCCCTTACGCGCCCCTATTAAACATTTTAGTAAGTTAGGCATTTACGAAATTCTAGGAAGTTACTGTATCAACAAGCAAAAGCAGTACTTCACGTTTTCTAATTAACAGAAACAGAAATTTATAAATACTCTTATCAAACTTAATTCAAAATTTAATAGAACATAATGCATTATCAGGGTTTATGAAAAAGTTATTATATATAACTATCTATAATTATGCATATTGGAAAATAACTAAGAATGGAGAAGTTCTTTAAAACATACTAGTTTTTTTTTATTTTTTCTATCACGCTCTTGAAAACATTAACATTCTTTAAACTCAAAGTTAATGATAACAACATAATTAAGTTATTTGGTATATTATTTGAATCGATGTATACAAAAATGTTCTAAGTCACAAAAACTATTTTTTCGGGAAACGAGAAAAAACTAAATCCAAAATTATTACTTTAATAAATACAAAAAAAAATCTTCGAGCTCTCCTCCTGCTCTCTGTTCAACGTGTACGGAAAGGTCTGACTTGGAATGTTTTACTATACAATGGTGAAAAAAGTCAAATATAAAAAAAATGACTTAAAACGTTTTTGTATACATTGATTCATTTTATGGTTTGAAACGACCTTTCCGACGGGTATGAAACTCCGTAGGACGAAAACCTATTTGATGAACATTATCTGATTACAGTAAGCTTATGTGATTAAAAATTTGGCAATATGTTGTACATTAAAGTTTTAAAAACTTTTAATGTAAAATATGTTGTCAAATATAACAATATGTTAAAAATAGTTTTAAAAATTCACAATTAAAAATTACAAATTAAAAAAAATTCACGATTAAAAATTAAAAATTAAAAAAAATTCACGATTAAAAATTAAAAATTAAAAAAAAAATTTTTTTCTGTTGGCGTTGATTTTTATTTCTATTTCAACTTTAGACCGAAATCATAACATTAAAAATGGGAGGAAAACATAATAATAAAATTTTAAATATATAAATAACATTAATAAAATAAAGAAACGATTTAAAAAAATAATTTTAAACAAAAAAACAAAAAATTAAAAAATAAAAATTAAAAAAAACTTTAAAAATAAAAATTAAAAAAATGACATAATATTTAAAGATTAAAAAAAATATTAAAAAACATAGATTATTTGGATGCTCCTCCTCATTGACTAGTTTTTAATTATTTTAAATATTTTTAAAAGAGTTACACCTTATTAATTTAAATAAATTTAATTAATATATTTATTCTGTATGGCTAAAAATTTCATATTTTTAGATTATATATTAATTTTAATCAGGGCCGTCCCGTAGAGATTTTAAAGGGGGAGTGCCGTGTCTGTTTTTTGCCGACAATAGCCAAAAAAAATTTTTTTGCTCACTAACTTACCTAAAAAAAAAAAAAAAGTCCTCGTTTCCCGACATTTACCGACTGCCAATAAAAACCAATTTTGCCGACTCTAGTATCCAATTTGCCAACTAATAAAATTCGTAGTCACTAGACACCCCCTACGCTGTAATCCTTTGCAAGAATTAAAAAAATCACTTAAAAATACTTTAAATTAACAAAAATATCGAAAGTTATAAACGAACTAAAAGATTAAAGAAAAAATAAAACAAGAAAATGAACAAAAAAGTAAAACGAACAAATAGATTTAATTAAATAAAACAAAACAAATCAAAAGCGAAGTAAATGAAAATAAGTTCGAAAAATGTTCAAAATAATAAAAAGAAAGAACAAATTATAATAAAAATAAATCGCTACAAAATTTTTTACATTTTTCTGTTTCCGTCAAGAATAACAAATATAAGTTATTTTATTTTGTTGAAGTTTTTGTTTGCCTTTTCGTTATCTAGTTTTTGTTTTCGTTTTGCAGTTCTTGCGCCTTTTCGATTGCGTAAAGTTTGTTATTATTTATGCTGTTGTTGCTAAATATTTTTATTGTTGTTCGCTGTTGTTATTAATTGAGTGTTTTCATATTTTTTGTCTTTTTATTTAATTTATTAATATAAATAGCTTAATCGTTATTTTTTTTTATAACTTATTTAATTTACGGTTATTTATTAATATTGCTTGTTTGTTTGTTTATTTTATTTAGGCGTCACTCCAATGACTAGTTTTTAACTATCTGATTGACAGCTAACCTAACTTTGTAAATCATATAAAAATTGTAATTTTCAATTTTTGGTTAAGTAAATGGAATTAATATATAATCCAAGACTAAATACTTTGACTTCAAAGATCGTTTATGGTATGCGAGTATTTAGTTTCAAAATTCTGTAGTTTATTCTGTAGTTTATTCTGTAGTTTATTCTGTAGTTTCTTTATTTATAGTTTATTCTGTAGTTTCTGTAATTCTGTAGTTTATTCTGTAGTTTCTGTATTTATAGTTTATTCTGTAGTTTCTGTAATTCTGTAGTTTATTCTGTAGTTTCTGTAATTTAGTTTCAAAATCCCTACAATCTATTAAGGTGAATTATTTACTTTTCGTATATCGATCAAAGTATAAATCAATGCAAATGAGAAATTCTACATAAAAAGAAAAAGTCTACTTAAGAAGAGAAATTCAAAATTAAATAAGAAATTTTCATAGTTGTGTATTTTCATAGTTGAATTAATTTTCATAGTTGTGTATTTTCATAGTTGTGTAATGTATTATTCTAATCTGCTAAATAAAAATAAATTAGTCATAAAAAAAAACATGGTCGATTATAAATGAAGTAACTGGCAGATAAAAAAAGAAATCGTTTAGCATACCTCAAAAAATATTTTGTGATAATAAATAATTACAAATAAATCAGATATTTACCATGAATTAAACAAACATTTTGTAAATCTTGGTCCCAGTCTAGCTTCAAAAATAGTGATGCCAAATAAGAAGTTTGATGAATTTATTGGAAAAAAAAACCTATCGTCTATATCAAATGAAAAAATATCCTATAAAAAATTTAACAAAGCTCTGACTGAACTAAAGCGAAACAAGTCATGTGGATATGATGACATTACTAGTAATGTAGCAATACACGTCATTGAATGTTTTAGAAAACCCTTATTTCATTTAATATCGTCTTCTTTTGAACACAGTACTTTTCCTGATATGTTAAAAATTGCTAAAGTCAATCCTGTTTATAAAAATGGAGATTGTAATAATGTCTAACTACCGTCCAATATCCCTCTTACCAGTGTTCTCTAAAGTTTATGAAAAAGTAATATACAATCGAATTTATAATTACTTGAAGTTAAACAAACTTTTATATGAAAATCAATTTAGTTTTCAAAAAAGATGCTCAACAGAACATGCTATCATTGAACTTACTAATAAAATATTTAAATTTTTTGATAAAGGGGATCATGTATTGGGAGTATTTATAGACCTTACAAAGGCATTTGATACAATTGACCACAACATCTTACTATCAAAATTAAAACATTATGGTATCAAAGGACTAATGTATAAATGGGTAAAAAGCTATCTGAGTAACAGAAAGCAGTTTGTAATAAACAAAGACTCAAGTGTTCTTGATATTGAGTGTGGGGTTCCTCAAGGCTCAATCTTAGGACCGTTATTGTTTTTAATTTACATCAATGATATGCATAAAGCATCATCTATAGTATCTTCAATAATGTATGCTGATGACACAACTTTATTTTATAATCATAGTAATTTAAAATCGATGTTGGAAACAATGAATACTGAACTGGAAAACTTTAATTTATGGTTTAGAGCAAATAAACTATCCTTAAACAGTGAAAAAACCAACTACATTTTATTTCATAAAACAGGTCAATCAATGTCTCTACCGTTAAAAATTCCAGAATTGCTCATTAAAAACATAACAATAAAACGGGAAAAATATGCAAAGTTTCTTGGTGTTTATATTGATAAAAATTTATCATGGAGAAATCATATTAAACACATTGAAACAAAAATATCATCTGCAATAGGTATTTTATATAAATGTCACCCGTTTCTTGATTTCTGTTCAAGAAAAAAACTTTACTTTAGTCTAATTTACAGTCATCTTACATATGCTAATATAGTGTGGGCTAATACACATAAAACAAAATTAATCAAACTACAAGGCTTGCAAAACCATGCTTGTAAAGCAATTCATTATCTAGGTAGAATGGACAATCCTTCCAATGCGATGACAAATACGAAAGTCTTAAATTTAGAAAAACTTAATTTATGTCAGATTCTTATTTTTATGTTCAAATATAAAAATAATATGCTACCAAATTCTTTTTTAGACATATTCTTGTCATCATTTTCTCAAAGTTATAATCTACGATCAAATAGCTTCCATAACTATTATATTAAAAAAACTAAAACCCGGTGTTCTGAATTTTCAATTATGCCACAGGGTAACATAATTGAAAATTCAGTGTGTGTGTGTGTGTGTGTGTGTGTGTGTGTGTGTGTGTGTGTGTGTGTGTGTGAATGTGTGTATGTGTATATATATATATGTGTGTGTGTGTATGTGTATGTATATATATATATATGTATATATATGTATGAATGTGTGTATGTGTGTGTATGTATGTATATGTATATGTATATAAATATAGGTATATATATATCTATATAACAGTAGAAATAGTAATTACAAAGCTAATTACAAAAAATTATTTCTAATTTTACTTAATTAACTTTTTATATAGACATAGATATACGCCAAACGGCGCTATTAAGGGAATCTGCGAAAAGATTTTTTTTGGAGTTTTATACCCAAAAATGCTGAATCTTCTTTGATTTCATTTTTTTAGGTATTAAAGTATAGAAAAAAATAAACATATATAGTTTTTTAAAAATTGAAAAAAACAATCTGTGGTGAACAGGGCCATCCCGAAGAGATTTTTATGGGTAGGGGGTTTTCCAACTTATCTAAAAGTATCTTTAAAAAAAAATAATAAAAAAAAAAGGCTTTGTTGGTCGATATTTGTCGATTGCTAACTAAAGATCCAATTTTGCCTACTCTAGTATCCAATTTGCCAAAAAAATAAAATTTGAAGGGGGCTAGACACCCCCTACGCCTCCTCCCCCCCCCTATCACCCTCGGGACGGCCCTGGTGGTGAATCAATCTTCAAAATTCGGCAAAAAAAAAATTGGATGTTACAATAAAAAATATTGAACAACTTATAACAACAAATTTTGAAGAGCAAAAAAAGTATATTCTTAAAGAAACTGACAAACTTTTAAAAACCAAGAAGCAACATTTACAAATATAGTAAGCTCAAATCTAAAATTTATCACGGATAGACTTGATAGACTTGAAAGTGAAATTAACATCAACAAACCAAAAACTTCAACTTTAGAAAAAAACATTAGCGATATCAAACAAACTATTTTGCAGCCGTGGTGCAGTGGTTAGAGCACTTACTTTATAAACAGAAGGTTCAGGTTCGAAACGAGCTTTGGACATATTTCGGGTCACGGTAAGGAAGGAGGCGTGAACTTTCTGTTTAAATGCACTTCCACGGTGCTTTGTGACAAGACTGTTAGGACTTCTTGGGGCACCTAAAATTAAAAATTAAAAAAAAAAAAACTATTTACTTCCATGAAAAAAACGTCACAAGTAAATTGGCACAATTGAGCCAACAGTTTAATGACCAAATTAGTATATTAAAAAAGAAAACTATAGATTTGGAAAATAGATCATACCAAAACAATCTAAGAGTTGTAGGTGAATCTCCCTGTGAAACATGTGACTGTGCTAAAATAGTCAAAAATGTCTTGAACAACCATTTGGGAATTGCGGATGACATTGTCTTCGTGAGAACCCATCGAGCAGGACAAGTAAAAAAAATAAGCCGCAAACTATAATTTTGAAACTTCTAAATTTTCATGAAAAAAAATAAAATGTTATGTTTAGCAAAAAAACTTTAAAGACAGTGGAATATTCAGAAATAAATGTTACGCAAATGAAACTTTTAGTTTACCTTTGTGAAGAAATTACTAAGACATCAAAAAAGGTAAATTTGCAATTGTCAAATATGCTAAATAAAAGAGCTTATTTCAAAATTTTTGCACGAAAATTTTGAAATAAGCTCTTAAACAAACACAATGGCTTAGGGGTCGTTCACAAATTACACCACGTTGTATGGGGGAGGAGGGGGAGGCGTAAGCATTTTTATAACGATTGTTTTGTGACGCTATTCAGTGACGCAATTTTTTTTTTTTTTTTTCAAGTTTCAAACTTAAAAATTTTTTCTATTGATTAAAAGAAAACACTCGATTGCGGCTATTCAAATTTAACATTAATTGGAATTGACTTTTTATATTGACTAAAATTTTAATCGATTAATGTAAACGTCCATGGGTTTATTAGTCAATGATATAGTCAGTATATCATCGATGAAAAAATAATTGATAACAATATAGTTATTAAATAAAAATAATATAGTATAATAAAAATATTTATTAAATAAAAATATATAGTATAATAAATAATAAACTACAATAATAGTTAATACGCATCGTAACATAAAAATTATGTTAATATAATCTGCACCGCGACACTAACTTATTTTTAAAGTGATTAAAATAGTATATTTATCCAAAATTAAATATATCCTCGGAGATTCTTTTAGTCACTGTTAATTTATACAACTATAGGAGTGCAAAAAATAATATATGTGCATTCAGGGCCGTCCCGAAGGGATTTTAATGGGGAGGGGTGATATATCTGACTAAAGCCAAAATATTTTTTGAATGCACAGTGCATTCCACTTCCTCCATACCTAAGGCCATATCAGTCAATTTATGTACGCATTAATTATTGTTATTGTATGAAACTTTTAAAAATATTACTAATAAATAAATAGTTATAATTAAACGACAATAGTAGTTAAAACATAAAAACAACTTTCAAAAACATGAAAACACAAAATACAAAAAAAAAACTCAATAAAAAAATCTTGCACTCTTACAGAGAGTCGTACCCTCACCATTAGCCCGGCTTTAAAGCTAAAAATTTCAACGTTTTTTGTATTAGCATTATTGTGAACTTTTTATTAGTAAGCGCGTCCCAGTGGACACGGACGTAAAAAAAACGTCTTTTAAACGTCTATACACATTTTTGACGTCTTTTGAACGTTTTGGACGTCTTTTGAACGTTGAAAAGACGTCTTTTTTGGTCCAGTGCCTACTGGGGTACAAATAATGACTTTCAAAGTGTTATTAAATAATAATAATTAAAATTTAAATGCATTCATTAGATAACTATAACCAGGTAAGAAAATTAATAATATTATCGTATTCAAAATAAAAAAATAAATTTTTAGTGGGAAAGGAAGGGAGACAAATTTGTTACGTAATTTTAGGGGAGGAGGTGTCATAAATAAGTGACGATTTGTTACTAGGGAGGGGGCAGAGGAGGAGTGTTAAATCGTCGAAAATTAGTAAACCCCTCTTGATCTCTAATTCAGACGGTTAGGTTCTAACAACTGAAACCACCTGACACACAGTGGCACAAAAGAAAAAGTTTTTGAGCCAAAATTCTTTTTTTAATTTTTTTTATTTGAACTGTTATAAATATACAAACCATATAAGATAAATATAAAGCTTATATTTATTGCTAAAAACTTAAAAATCTATATAAATTTTTTTTTTTTATTATTACAATTAAAAATTACAAATTAGAATGAAGGTTAAAGCAGCCGTGGCATAGTGGTAGGACACTCAAAAGTAGAACCTCAAAAACGTAAGATCCTTGGTTTAAACCCCACCTTTTGGCAAGTTTTGCGACATCCGTTGGGAAGGAGGGGTGAACATTTTATTAAATGCTCTTCCGCGGTGCTCCGCGATAAGACCGTAAGGACTTCTATTAACATTAAAAATTAAATAAGAATATTAAAAAAAAAGGTGATTGGAGTCTGGGAACAAAAATACTCCAATAGATTTGGGGTAGTTTTGCATTTTTTTTATATTTCATTAGATCTTTTATTTGGTAGAACAATGATTGCTGTAGTTTAAAAAAAAAATATTTATATTTCATCTAACATATATATGTATATATATATATACATATATATATACATATATATATATATATGTATATATATATATATACATATACATATATATATATATATATATATATATATATATATATATATATATATATATACATATATATATATATATATATATATATATATATATATATAAATATATATATATATATATATATATATATATATTTCATTTTTAAATAAATATTTACATTAGACGAAATAAAAATAAACTTTGTTAAAATATTTTGAATGATTTTGGAATCACTTTTTTGTTGTTTGGCGATTTTAACGGAAAACCTTTCTTGGACCAATCAATATTTAATATTTTAAGCTACATGCTTGATTGTTGAAATTTTATATACTTATAAAAAAATGTCAATTGTATCGTGGACATTGATAAAAAAAATTTAAGTTAAATTTTTTGGCATTTATTTTTTGGTTTACTTGTTTTATATGAAAGACGTCATATTTTTGTTAAGTCCAACCAAATTATTGAGATTATAACCCTAAATGCACATGAAAATCAAAAAAATTATTTTCTGTACTTCTTGCTATAATATCAGATGTGTCTTCAATCTTGGCAGGTTTAGCAACAAAATTTTTAGTTACATGCGTAAAATTTGTGCTTACCTTTTAGAGCAATGACGTAACTTTAAATGCGTTACTTCCCAATTTACTATGTAAATTTAATTTATTAAAACAGCTTTTTTAGCGAGACAAATGTTAGTGTATAAATAAACAAACTTTGGCGGGATTTTTTTTTCGTGGCTTATATACAAGTATCAGATAAGTTGTTTATTCTTCTGATATCTATTGAATAATTGTTATATCTCAATATTTATTGTTTGATTTTGTTTGTATTATATTTTTAAACAAGACGTTTATTTATAACTATGCATTCTACTGAAAGGGACATATTAATACAATACATTAGTTGGGAAAATAAATGTAACTTTCCTTTTATTAGGCGAACAATGAACATTGATAAAATCACCAACAACGTGATTTCAATTTTACATAAAGTCTTTCAATCTAAAACAATTTTTAGTTTTATAAATTTTATTTTGCCAATTGATTTTAATTTGCCACTTATTAAAGACTTTGAAAAAATGTTCAGAGAATTAAAAAAAAAAAAATTAATTTATGAAGCTTCAAAAGACAAAACATTTTTTAATAATCAACTGTTTCCAGCTTCACTAACAAAAGCAAAAAAAAATCAGTAAATGCAGTTTATTTTTCAATTTTAATAAGAATAAGGAACTTAAGTAGTCAAGTTGACCAATTAACTTTTAAAGATTAAACTTATGTGAAGCAAATAGATAACTTAAATATGCAGGTAATTAAGTTGGACACTTAAATTACAAATTGGAGTTCTAAAAACAATGCTTTTAACACATTGTAACTCATTAAGTTCTCAATTAGAGAATATCATATTCTATCATATTATTGTTGTTTATCACCATTAATTCCACTATTTTACAAATTTTGATTTTTTTGAATTCTTCAGGATTCCACCCAACAACATTATCAGCATAATTAATCGATATTGATTTATCAGATAAACAATAAACTAAAACATATTTTTGACTGATGTACTCCATCATATATTTAAATTATTACTAAATTATGTAAAATCATTAACAGTTCAAAATTATTACCAACTATTTTTGATGAAATAAAATGAAAAAATGTTGAAAAAAAAAGATGCTTTAGATACGCTTTTTTTGTCTCTAAATGCTTGAAATATTTACTGTAGCAATATATTAGTTATATCTAATTTTAGTGCAAAATATTAAAACATTGAAATATTTACTGTAGCAATATATTAGTTATATCTAATTTTAGTGCAAAAAATATATCATTTGCAAGTGGTATGATAATGTACTCATTGCCATTTTAAAAACAAACACATTTATTTACGATCTTTACACCAGTTATAATGATATTAGACAGAGTATAGATACCTATTACCAAATTAACTGGAAGGATAAAGATGAACAATTACAATGCTACAATTGACAAATTACATTGTATTTATGAACCTATTTTTTTTATCATTAAATTAAAGCTTTCCGATAATTGCAACGCAATGATAGAAAAAAACCATGCTTATAAAAACTGCGCATTTACACAAATCATTCCGTAAAATGCTTTTCTTCCGAGTTTTAAAATTCCATAATATTTAAGTCGACTGATTTTGCCCTTACCGATCCCTTAATAAGATTTGCCATAAACAAATTTTAATGTTAGAAAAATATTTATATAAGCTAACTTTATCAAAAAAGTAAGATAAGCTATTATAAATATAAATTGATATAAAAAAAAGGTCAAAAAAAATTTGCCCTTAATGTACCCTTATCCCTTAAGGGTCCCTTATGTCATTTAAAGGCGGGTATGCTGGCAACAAAGCTGAAAACTTCAAATTTTGAACAAGTTTTTTTATTAACAGCTTTTTTGACAATTAAAAGGCATATTGATTTTGGTTGGTTTAAAGATGGTAACTTTTTTCAAAACTCAATTAACTTAAATATATTAGGCCAGATTTCAATCTGCAACAGATTTATTTTTAACCCACCAAAATAAAAGAGGGTATTTTGTTGCGCCTGTGACTGTTTCATAATCTTGATGCCTAGCCAGGCTGTTGTGAGGAGTTTTAAACACCCTTTTAGAATTTTTATAATATTCCATGGTGTTGATTTGATAGCTGTTTTAGGTACCATGAATAACATGCAAGGAGCAACTTCCAATATTTATAAGCTGTGACATCTTTTTGTTCTTTTTTGTGTTTATTTAGATCATTTAGAAATTTCAATTTGTAGAGGGTTCATGGAAACTTAAAATATTTTACTTGAATCAAACCTTGATAAGTATTCATTAAAATGAGTAAGAAGGTCAAAAGCTGTTGAATGACTGAGAAAAGCTGACGTCCAATATCTTACATTATTGACATCCCAATATCGAACGAGTAGGTCCATTTGTAATGATTTAGTTATGTCCTTTAAGCTCTCATGAAAAGATACAATGTAGCAATCTGATTTTGTGATTTCTTCTTGTAAGAGTGTCTTGAAGTATGGCTCCAGTCCATGGTTAACAATGTATGATATTTTTGAAGAACTCATGCTGAAATCTTCTGCTAACTTACTGTCAACAAAGATCTTTTTAAAAGAGTTGTTTAAATTTGCACATGAATTATTAGAGTAGTAGAATTCTTATGTAGATTTCAGTGCTCAAATGATCTCAGCAATAGTTAATAATGATGATTTGATTGAGAAAATCAATAGTCGTTTCTTTTTGATGGAAAGTGTTGTATTTTTTTCTTCACATCTAAGCGGTTCAGCAAATTCGTTTGCAATAAGTCTTAAAATTAATGCTTTGTTTATATGTGATTATAACACGTTTTGTAACAACAGTTTTAATTTAGAATTTTTATTAAATAATATGCCAAGAACTCGTTCTAGAACAAAATAGAGGTCGTTTGCTTGAAATCGGTACACACAATATGTATATGGGCAATTATGTTTCATAATACATACATTTTAGATAAAAATATTAATCATCAGTTTATTAAATTCTATTAAATGTTATTAAACTGTCAGTGTTATTAAACATGTTATTAAATTGTCAATGTTATTAAACAGTCTATTAAATAGTTCACTAATTATTTAAATAACAGACAACAATGTGTTATAATAGACGGTATCACTAATACAAAGTTATTAAAAATAAAATGTGGTGTCCCCAGGGATCTATTCTTGCACCTTTATTATTTCTTATCTACATTAATGATCTCCCTAAAGTCTCTACAAATCTCGATTGTATAATGTTTGCAGATGATACTAATCTGTTTTACTCATCTACCTCTATCAATGACCTTTTTGATAAAGTCAACATTGAGCTTCAAAAACTTAAAACATGGTTCAGTGCTAACATGTTATCATTAAACGCCCAAAAAACTAAATATATTTTATTTCACTCAAAGAAACAGAAAAATAAACTACCATCAATTCTACCCTCACTAAGTATTGAACACAATAAAATTGAAAGAACCCAAACAATTAAATTTCTTGGTGTGATTATTGACGAAAATGTTTCATGGACAGCCCATATAAATGCCATCAACACTAAAATACCTAAAAGTATTGGCATACTTTACAAAGCTAAACCATTTTTATCGCAAAAGAACCTAAAACTTCTTTATTTTTCCTTTATAAATAGTTATCTCACATATGCCAACATTGCTTGGGGAAGCACACACAAGACAAAGTTAATGTCCCTTTATCGACGACAAAAACATGCCTCCAGAATAATACATCATAAGAACAAACTGACCCACGCTAAACCCCTATTAAATGAAATGAAAACGCTAAACATTTACCAAATTAATATCTATGCTAATATATTGTTCATGCTAAAATACAAATTAGGATTAGTTCCAAACCGATTCACTGAAAATTTCTTTCAATCTAATCTCAACAAATTTAACACAAGATCAACTGGTAACTTTATTGTACCCCGGAAAAGACAAAAAAATTCTCAATTCTCTATTTCTTACCGCGGCCCTTATTTATATAACAAACTAATTCCGAATTATACCTCAATTTCTCTTGCTGACACTATAACTTCTTTAAAGTCAAAACTAAAAAATCATGTTCTACAATACGCTTTTCGGTGTCCACGGCGTTTGCAGTAATCAATCGAACATACTTTGACTTTTGCAATCGTTTTAAATAAGCAATAATTTTAAATTTAATAATATAACAAAAAAACTGTTAAAGAACAGTCATTAAAACTACAATTAATAACAGCGCTTTTTTTGGGAATGAATGCCTCCATTATCAACATATTTTATAAGTTTGTCTAATAGTTTACATTAAGTTTAAATTTGTCAATTGCAAATCAACGAATAAAATTTTATTTTAAAGAAATAAAAATCTTGCCGGACAAAATGTCCGGTGACTTTGTAAATTGATCGAACAATTTGAGGTTTTGGCCGGACAATGTCCGACTGTTAAATTAAGCCCTGTTATTACGTTTTGAAAACAAAGTTTTGCGTTGCAAAAATGTCTAATCAAATTTACACTTTTAAAACATATTATAGTGTCTATATAAATATTAATTAGCATAAAAATTGCTATATATATATATATATATATATATATATATATATATATATATATATATATATATATATATATATATATATATATATATATATATATATATATATATATCATATACATATATATATATATATATATATATATATATATATATATATATATGTATATGATGGTGCTTTATTACTTCATAAATCTGTTTTGACATTAACTTGATTAATTATTTAAGAAGTTTTTTCCTTTAGATTCTAATTACTTTAGACTTTCCTGATTATTTAAAAAACAAACAACAACAGTAACAAAAAAAACAAACAACAATTTATTGAGTTATTTTATACTTTTCTCATTTGTTAAAACTTTTCGTGTTTCTTCTGTTTGTGAAATCTTATTCATAACTAATGCTTATTATATAGTTAAAAATTTGCGTTTTACGCAAATATTTTATACAGTCATAATCAAGTCATAAATATATTAAATAGTAAATATACTAAACATCAATATAATAAATAACAATATCACTTATTTTATTTTTATTACATACTCTTGAACAAAACAAAATATTGTGCACGCGTTTTATGTTAAAAAAAGAAAAGCATGAATAATAGTTAATTTAAAAAAAAACAAAAACTATTAAGGTTAACGGTCATCCTCTAGTTTCACTTTTTTTATCTTTAGTTCTTCAGAGTCATGATATCCAATTGAAGCATCTAGAAAAAAAATATATATAAAAAACGAAAGCGGAAAGCAAAAATTTTCAACTGAAATCTTCAACTGTTTTAAATTTTCTATACATATTTATTGCATACTTGAAAAATAATTTTTAATTTAAATAAAATATTACTTTCACCATCTTGTAACTGCAGCTTGAACGTTGATTGCTGATTAGCAGATGATGTCATGTTATTCGTGACAGATTGGCCAGCGGCTTTAACAGCTCGATCAATACTTTTAAATTGCCAAGGCCAACTTGAGCGGTATAAAAATGGACGAAGATCGTACCTATTAATTTAAATATTATAAAAAACAATTTGTACTTAGTAAAATAAATAACTAAATAAAGGACCTACAGGATTTTTAGAACACACACAAAAAAAAGATTAACTATTTGTGATCCTCAAGAGAAATTAAAGAACGGTAATTCCCAGGAATCTTGTTGGTCAATTCCCGTTCCCGTTTTTTTTTAAAACAAATATGTAGATTATCATTTTTTCTCAAAAAGACTCTAATGGCGGTGTTCTATGTGCAATTTTCTAGCAATGAATTAATGATTAATGCTTAACATAAATAGCTAAATATGAATTAATTTAAGTTACTTTAAAAGTTCTCAAAACTTTAAGTTCAATGGCTTTGACATTCCTAAGGTATATCTTCGCGTTCGAAGAGACCAACCTAGTATAAAGTTGATCTCCGCAAGACTCAAAAAGATTGGAGGAGCTGGTAGAAGTTCTGAGTCCAGCGAAGTTGGCAATTCAATTCTTGTCAAAGAAATCAGTAAATCTCATCGATTGCAACACAACTATCAAGTTTCTCTTGGACAATTTAGAAATACATGATCATCAGCTCTCGCAGGACATCTTTTTGGCTATCAAAGAGAAAATCAACAAATGCAGACATGACGTTCTTCAATCACTTATCCTTTACTTGCACGATATCAACAGCATCAATAGGCCGAATCACTTTGCTACATCGACTGTTGCAGCTATGAGCAAACTTGCAGTGAAACTGATGGAAAGACTCTTCAGTACTGAAAATGATGATTGTGTGGAACAACCTGAACAGCAAGAAGAACCATCAGCATCAACATAACAGCAGGTTCAAAGAAATTTAGCTGAGCAACTGACACTTGCCTTGAAAGCTTCAAGAGAGGTCACCAACAAGCAGGCAGGCAAAGTTATTGACTACAAAAAGGAGATGCAGATGTATGCAACATAAATTTTGAGTTCTTTGTATTGTTTTTTGTATTTTTTGATTAAATATTTTCAGGTTTTAGAAAGAAAAAAATATATTGAAAAGCTCATTCCCGGTAACGGTAATTCCCGGAAATGAGCTTTTTCATTCCCAATATTCCCGAAATTGAAATTCCCAGGAATTTGAGGATCACTACTAACTATAAACACTTTTTAACTTATATGTTTTAATTTTTTCAAATCTAAAATTTTTTTGTTCCAAATTCTTATACATAGATTATCCTGGCCATATTATAAAAATCCGGAAAATTTTTTTGTAATATCCGCAAAAAATCCGGAATTTACAAAGAGATGTTAACAAGGAGGGAGAGGGCGTGCTCTCCTCCATTCTTTTATATTACGCCAGTTTAAAAGTATCCTTATTCACCGTATATATGAATAAAAAACTAAATTTTTTCATCAAAAAATAATAATAATAATAATAAAATTTTAACAATAACAATAAGGAAAAAGAAGATGAAGTCAAAGAAGAAGTAGAAAACTATATTTAAAAGTTGTTAAACAATGCGGAAACTTTTTTAGACATGCACTTATAGATTTAAATACATAATGGATAATGAAATATTGCTTCAATTCACTAAAAATACTTCAACTGGGTCAGAGCAGGCACATTTAATCCTCTATCTCTTCGAATACTATGATATTGTCGACAATATTATTGGTGTTTGCTGCGACACAACTGCATCCAACACTGGAAAATTTGCGGGAGCAGTTACAATTCTATCAACTATCCTTAATACAAGTCTTGTCTGGTGCATGTGTCGTCGCCATATTATTGAAACATTTTATGACTGCACTGACTGGCGCCGATACCAAGTCTCAGAAAAAAGAAATTTATGTTCGCTTACAGAAGGTTTGGTCAAAAATTGTTGACAAGATAGGCACATCATCAGTAAATCTGGTTAAGTCTAACTGGACTTCTTTAGAGATTGGATCACCTATTTATAATATAGCCAAGACAGCATTAAAGTTTGGAGAAACTGCACTAAATGAAAATATTTTCAAGAGAGGAGACTACACAAATCTTTATCAGTTGTTTGTTTACTACCTTGGTGGTCATGTTCCTGGTATAAAATTTCATCAGCCAGGAGCTTGTCATGAAGCAAGGTTTATGGCAGATGCAATTCATTTGCTTACATTAGAAATGACAAAAGACATCTCAAATATCATGAATGAAAAGGAGAAGGAGATGGTTACGACAGCTTCTTTATTTATATCTCTAACATACTGTCCTTGGTTTTTCAATAGCTCTCTGAGTGTTAAAGCACCAGCTAATGATTTAGCAGCATTCAAAGACATATTTAATTTAAGTAAAGAATATCCTCAGTTTTCTCAACCAAAACTGAAAAGCATACAAAATCATACCTGGTATTTAAGTCAGCAGCTTGTTGTAATGGCTTTAGTGGATGATGATGTAAAAAAAGTCAAGAAGAAGAAAATACTCCAAAACCTCTTACAGTTTCCAGTTCCTAAAGAGTTTACAAAAGGTAAGCCTAAAATGCCTATAATCACACTGTCTACAACACTATCAAATTTAGTTGGTGTTAAAAATATGGAAGTCACCAACGATTGTGCAGAAAGAAATATAAAACTAATTCAAGACTTTATTATATCATACCGAAATGAAGAAATGAAGCAGAATGTCTTGTTGGTTGCAAAAAACCATAGAAAAACGTTGAATACAAATCTGACTAAAACCCAGCTAAACCAGATTTGAAGTGCTTATGATATTTGTTCAACCTTTCTTTCTACGACTCTTCAGCATATGCAACATACATTTAAAATAAATTTTATTATAATAAATGTTTAACATGATTATTTTTCTAATATTTACAAGTTTTATCGTATAAATAGGAAAAAATCAAAAAGTTTTACACCAAGCACTTGTAATCGTTTAAATTTAAAAATTCTAATATATTTGGTCATAATACACCTAGTAATCATGTTCTAGATAGCGCAATTTGTGTAGTTTGTGATGTTTTTGATAAATCAAGCATCAAGCTTTACGCCAATACTTTGACTTACATTGAAATGATTAACTGGACGGCAACACCACCACCATTGCTAGCAGCTATTTAGAATGAAAATCTTCAACAACGTCAGTTGTTTTTCATTTTTGGTGTACCTTGTCACTCTCAGGCAGTTGAGCGTACTTTTAAAGATATCTCTGCAGCAAACTCAACCGTTTTTAGACATGAATTGCAACATGGGATGATTTTACAGAGTGCTGCATCCAGAACAGACTTACCTAGTGTTAGCTATAAATCAAACTTTTTGTAAATTATGTTTCATTATATTGTTTCATTGAACTAATAATATTTAGAACTTTAACATTTATTTTCATTTCAAGCTTCAGATATCGCCAGGGTTGGCAATAGGGGTTTGCATGGTTTTTTTTTTGGATTTTTTTAGTAGGTTAACATGTATTTGACACACCCAAAAGAAACACCTCTTCTCGCAGGCACTGGATATGGCCTTTGTATCATAGTAAGTGCTCAATATATTTCTTAAATTTTTAGCAGTAAGCCTTTTAAGGGTGAACCTTTGTGAAAAAATTGCAAGTACAAGACATCTGTATTTTAAATGTTTTTTTGTTTCACATAAAAAAACATAAAAAATATATACTATTGTATTTATATAAAATGATTTTTATTAGTTTTACATAAAAAAAAAACATTTTATATAAATACAATAAATGTATATATATATATATATATATATATATATATATATATATATATATATATATATATATATATATATATATATATATATAATTTACCTATAATATAATATCAAACTGCTTTTTGGTTCTTCCTGTAAAAGAGATTCTAAAATAAAATCTAACCTATTATCATCAGGTGAATATCCAACAGCGTACAGACTTGGAGTTATTGTTGTCATTTTATGTCTATTGATAGCATATTTTGTAAAAAACAGCTTCACTTTATCAGCAATTGCTGAAGGTGAAATGTTCCATTGTGATAAAAGCTTAGTAAACATGGAATAAGGTCCACAGCGCTGAAGTTTTCGTAGGCGCCCAAGTATTGATATTTCTTCATAGGTCAATCCTATGTCACCCTAAACATAAACCTCATACCAAAACTGTAAGTTAATAATTAGCAATAAATCACACCATAATAACTGTTATGTATTTGTATTTAAGAATTCAAATCCCATCATGTTGCTGGTCAAATTTTCTCTTATATTATATAAACTTTCTCTTATATTACATATTTCTCTTATACAATATATTGTTGAATATTTAAAATAAAAAAACTATAAACAACAACAACTGAATGTAAAAAATTAACTATAAATTAAAATGAAAAAATAAAACTACAATGATATTTAAACTTCATATTTAAAAGGTTAAAACAGATGAAACAAGCAACCTTCTTCCACACAAAAAATGCTTTTCTCTCACTGTTACTGTTTTCTACACACACACACACACACACACACACACACACACACACACACACACACACACACACACACACACACACACACACACACACACACACACACACACACACACACACACACACACACACACACACACACACACGCGCGCGCACAGATATATATATATATATATCATAGATCATCCAGGTCATATTTTAAAAATCCTGAAAATTGTTTGGGTAAAATATAAGGAATATATTTTCCTCTTAAACTTGCTTTTAGCTGAGTTGTTTTAAATTTTTTATCCAAATCTATCTTAACTTTTATATAAATGATGAGTGAAAAAGATTAAAAAGCAAGTATATTACAAAAATATATACCTAAACTTGTATGTATGGAAAATGTTTTGGATATCCAGAAAAAGTAAAAGTTAAAAAAAATATCCAGAATTCCGGAAATATCCGGAAAAAGATAATCCCTGATATATATATATATATATATATATATATATATATATATATATATATATATATATATATATATATATATATATATATATATATATATATATATATAAATATATATATATATATATATATATATATATATATATAAATATATATATATATATATATATATATATAACCATAAATTTTTTTACCTCATCTGTTTGTTGTAAACGACCCTCATCAAGGGGAGTCAATTCAGCAGTAGGTGGTGCACCAAGTATTCCAATTAGTGAAGTGAAATTAAACTTTTCAACGCAGTAAAACACAAACTTTTTAAGGTCTGTTTTACTTATTCCTCCAATAGGATTAATATCAGCAGACGAGCAATCATACTTTGTCATATAACCAAGAAGACTAGAATCAAATAAAATCAAATCAAATGTTAAATAAAAGTATTTTCAGAAATATTCAAAATAAAACCTACCACTCATCAACATTAGCAGAGCCTAGTACCAAAAGCCCTCCTTGCTTCCCCCTTGACCATAATGTAAGTTGAGCAAACAAATAACTTGTAACCATGCGAACGCGTGCTTGTACATTTTGCAATGCTAAATTTTCAGTGTTTGAGCCGCCAAACACTGAAAAACGAGGTGTTTTTTTTGTAACAGCACTAAAAATTGACAAGATGGCTTGAATAGCAGTGTCAATAACAATACCTATGAAAATTTTTAATTTAAAAAATATATATCATTTATTTAGTATATTTATTATGCAGAAAATGTAAACAAAATGATAGTAATATTATCGCATGGTAAATATACATAAATATAGTACATTATAAAAAATGTCATGTTACATGATATATAGTATGGGGCTGCCATAAAGTCCACTTATAGGGAGGAGAAGGGGGAGGTTTCAATATCAAAGTACTAGGCACTAATTTAAAAAAATTCGCTGTTATTTTTATTTTTTTAATTTGTCACAATTAAGAAGTACTTGTTAATAAATGTTTTTGAATAAAAATTAATTTAGCTAATTATAGTACTTGTTTATAATTGTTTTTGAAAAAAAAATCATATAATCGCATTGTTGTCCAAATTTAACTACATAAAAGTTCATTTTTGACTAAAGATTCTAGTTTACCAAAGAATGCATGGATAGGAGGACTAGGGGTTATTGTGTCTCTCTATACGCACACATCCCACTCTTTAAGTAAGGCAAACATAGAATACACTAACATATAAATTATGTTAGTGTATTCTACAAATAGAGCGCTCAATGTTCTTAAAGAACAGAGCAAAAATAAATTAGTAAAAACTCATCTAGATTTTTCTTCAACAATTTGTTTCTCAATCAGTAGGTTCCTCAGGTCCTGATGAAGCTACTGATGGAAAAACAAATTGTTGAAGAAAAATCTATATATACATATACATACATATATATATACATATATATATATATATATATATATATATATATATATATATATATATATATATATATATATATATATATATATATATATATATACATATACATATACACATATATACATATATATATATATATATATATATATATATATATATACATATACACATATATACATATATATATATATATATATATATATATATATATATATATATATATATATACATATATATATGTATATATGTATATATGTGTATATGTATATGTATATATATATATATATATATATATATATATATATATATATATATATATATGTATGTATATATGTATATATGTGTATATGTATATGTATATATATATATATATATATATATATATACACATATATACATATATACATATATATAATATATATATATATATATATATATATATATATATATATATATATATATATATATATATATATATATATATATATATATATATATATATTAGGGTGTTTCAAAAAAGAGCCTTATCTTATTATGTGCCCAGACCATGATTTAGTACTTGAGATTTTTTTTTTTTAATTTTTAAAAATCCTTACGGGGGTAAAAGGGGCAATTTTTAGAGCGTTTTGTACCATTTTTAAAACTATTTGTAGGATATTTTAACATTAAAACTTTGGATTTTGTTTTATATAAATATGTAAATTATAAAGACTTATTTAATCAAAATAAAACAGGCTCTTTTTTCAAAAAAAAATGAGAAACTTATTTAAAAATTATTTCAAAAAACCCTAAAATCCATAAATATTTAATAAATAAAAATATTTTTACACTGCACATTTTTTTTGATAAAGTTTTAAATTTTTTAAGTATCATGTTTTCTTGAAATATATTTTATATTAAATTTTCTTTTTGAATTATATATTCAAAAAATTAATAAAATGCTACCAAAAACTTTTTAAGTATTTGGATAAAATATTTAACGTTAATCCTTTAACAGTCCCGTGTATATTTAAAAATACGGTCACTATTAGTCCAGCTTTTTTTTTCGAAGTGGTCTTTAAAGGGACCAACAAGTCCCAAGACATGTTGTGTTCATATTAAAGAGAATGTTAAAAAAAAACGTCTGAGAAAATTTTTTTTTGATTAAAACTAATTAGTAAATGTATACCAAGAAAAATAAATCTTGTTGTTTTAGTCAATGCTTGTCTTCTCCATTTTCTGCGGTATTTGGAGTCTTTAAAATAAACGCGATTTTCCAGGCGCATTATACAGACTTGATAATTTATTCAATTGCGTTTAATTTGTAGAAGTTTTAGTACATGAAGTCATAGATTTGTTTAAAACACCGATTATTATGTTTTACATACAATTTCCAAATCATATTCATTTTTATTATATTTTAAAGTTCTAAAATGTGTTTGTAAAAAAATTAAAAACAAAATAGTATTTTATTTGCGCAACTTTTTTTAAATAATAGTCTAGACCACATGTATTTTGATTTCTTTTGTTATAAGTTTTTCTTTCAAAATATTAGATAATATAATTTTTAACCTAAAATAATAATGCACTTTTATTAATTTACTTTGTAAATATTAAAAAAAAATTAACATTTTTCATTATTTATATTTCCATTATTATAACATCCAATATATATTAAGGCAGGGGCTTAAAAATTGAAAAATTAATATATATTTTAATTTTTGTTTTACTGACATACATGGAAACATAATTAACTTGAATGTTAATTATGTTTCCATGTATGTCCAAATGATTTGAATGTTAATTATGTTTCCATGTATGTCGTGAATAATTGTTAAAACATTTCAAATTCTGTTGAAATGTTTTAGAAATTATTCATGATTTGTTGCGTTTTGAGATATCTAGCATGTTTTAGGAATATATTATCAAATGAACTTTTACTTTAATATTATGGCTCATTCTCGAAGCCACATCCTCGGAGCCACATCTGCAAAGCTGTAAATCTTTTAAACTATTATCATTTGTTTACAAAAATGAATGTTTTATAATATATATTTTTTAAATTGTCAAAATTTTGAAAGTTAATTACAAATTATATATTTTATTAGTATATTCTTATTTTTTATCTTAGTGCTTGATTTAATAATTTGTTCGTTAGATTTGTCGAAATAACTTGCATCAAAATGTAAAGAAAACACTCGTGAATCATCAGAGATATTATATAACCCGATTTGACGCCATAGGGGTCCCTAGGTCCACCATCGCCATAGCCCATGTAGCCACAGCTCTAATAACTACAAAAAAATATAGAATATTTTTCAGTGTGAAGGTTTTAGAAAATAAAATAATTAACTATAGTTAGCTATTTTAGTGAAATTTAACAGTAAAATTTGATTAGAAATAACATCAAAAAGAGTGCAGTCTTGAGACGAAGAGCAATATAGAACAAGAGAAAAGCAATAGAACGAAGTGGTGCTAAACAAAAGCACATAAAAGAATAGTCTTTGGATTCAAACCTAGTTTCCCGACAAATGGGTGAACTCTTACGAATATAAATTGGCCCAAGCTAATTTACATTCGTAAGAGTTCACCCATTTGTCGGGAAGCTATTGCAATCTTTTACGAATTAAAGGAAGATAACTATCAACACTAAGATGATAAGATGAGACAGGTAAACTCAAATTAGTTTCATAAAGAGGAAGTAGGTCTGGTGAACTTGGCAAGAAATACAAATCAACAGAAGAAAAATTACTTCAAAGGCCACGAATATTAGTGAATGATTTAGAGAACTTGGAGATGACAATTGTTATATTTTTTAGAGAACTTGACTCAAAGCACAGATAGTACTCAGTACACTATTTTATAGTCCAAGCAATTGCCTCATTACTATTAATAACTACTAATATATATATATATACTATTATTCATTACTAATAAAATTACTATTATTCATCTATTAGGCTGGCGCAGATGTATTTTTAATACATTGTTTCCAGTTTAGGATGTTGAATGCTAGATCTTCTTGACTCGACACATGGGTTTTGCTTGTGTCTCTGTTTTTATAACTAGGCAACTCATTTTATTATCTCCTAATGAGGGTACAGCTCTAAAACTCAGTTTTATGGTTCTAAGGCCGGCTGGTAGTCAGGTTTCCCGAACTCTGTGGTAGCTCTCAGAGAGGCTGATTCCATCAACAACTGTAAAATATCAAAGTACTAACAGTGCCATGATGCGCATGGATGGTGTCCCTGTTTGTACTTTTTGGTGTGCATTGCCAAGGCCATATTTAATCTCTTTGTTATGGCTTAGGTTTATGAATAGTAATGAGGCAATTGCTTGGGCTATTAAACAGTGTACTGAGTACTGTCAATGTTTCGAGACAAGTTCTTTCACAAATTTAAAAATGAATAAAGTAACAAAAACTATAAAAAACAAAAAACCACAGTCATCACCAAGTTTGCTAAAACTATCATTCACCAGTATTCATGGTCTTCGAAGTAACTTTTTTTTTGTTGAGTCTTACCTCTTGCAAAGTTCACCAGACCTACTTGCTCTTTGTGAGACTAATTTGAGTTCTTCTGTCTCATCTTGTGATCTTAGTGTTGATGGTTATCTTCCTTTAATTCATAAAGACTCCAATAGTCACATGCTTGGCCTGGGCATTTACATTTGTAAGAATTCACTCATTTGTTGGGAAACTAGGTTTGAATCCACAGACTACTCTTTTATGTTCTTTTGTTTAGCACCACTTCACTCTGTCATCTTTCTCTTTGTTCTACATCGCTCTCCTTCATCTCAAGACTGCACTCTTCTTGATGTTATTTCTGATCATATTGACCAAGCCCTCATTCTTTATCCATCAGCCAATATTGTTGTTGTCGGTGACTTTAATGTTCATCTAATGTTTAATGTTCATCTAATGTTCATCTAATGTTTAATCTTTCCAGCAGGCTGGAGAGCAGCAAACACTTAATCTCTCATCTTGAATCTAATAACTTACTTTCTGATCATCGATATTGATTTTGATCTTCTCGTTCTACGGCTGATTTGCTAACAGTAATAACCGATAGGTTTTATCGCGCATTAGATAAAGGTGGAGAGGTTAAGGCCATTGCTTTTGACATTTCTAAAGCTTTTTATAAAGTTTGGCATGCTGGTCTTCTCCATAAGCTTTCTTCTTACAGTGTATCTGGAAACATCTTTAAGATTATTGAATCCTTTCTTTCCAATCCTAGTATAAAAGTTGTCCTTGATGGACAGCACTCTTCTACTTATTCTGTAACCTCAGGGGTTTCTCAAGGTTCAATCCTTGGCCCTATACTCTTTTTAATTTACATTAACAATCTTCCAGATATTCTCACATCTAAGGTGGCATTGTTCGCTGATGATACTATCATTTATTCTTGTCACGATAAGAAGCCAACTCCCTCTGATTGCTTGCAAGGGGCTTTTGAACTTGAAAAGGATCTCACTTCTGCTACAGCATGGGGCTCACAATGGCTGGTGAACTTTAATTCAGATAAAACTCAATTTATTCCAGCCAATCATTATCGCAATAAATTAGACCTTCCTATATTTATGAACGGTAATGTACTCGATGAGGCATCTACCCTTTATCTTCTAGGATTAACTTTTACTTCTGATCTTTCTTGGAAACCTTATATCAAATCTGTTGCAAAATTAGCATCTGCTAAGGTTGATAAATCTCTTTATCGAGCTCAACACTTTCTAACTCTGGATTCTATTCTCTATCTATATAAATCTCAAATCCATCCTTGTATGGAATACTGTTGCCATATCTGGGGCGGATCTTCTAATGATGCTCTTTCTCTTTTAGACAAGGTGCAAAAACGCACTGTAAACATAGTTGGACCTGCTCTTGCAGCCAACCTTCAACCTTTATCACATCTTCGTAATGTTGCTTCTCTTTCTCTTTTCTACAAATTCTATAATATGCACTGCTCTAAAAAGCTAGCATCTCTTGTGCCATCTGCTAAAATTCATTCTCGTGTTACTCGTCATTTAATTAAGTCTGATCCTTTTTCTGTTACTGTTCCCAAGTGCACCAAAAACTCTTATTCGTCTAGTTTTTTTCCTCGAACATCAGTTCTTTGGAATTCGCTTCCTTCATCTTCTTTTACTGATTCATATAATTTGCAGTCTTTTAAGTCGTCTGTCAATTGTTATCTTGCTCTACAATCTTCATCTTTTCTCTTCCAGTAATTTCCAACACTAGTTAGTGGTTGTTTGCAGCCTTGTTGGAAGTGAAGATGATGAAAAAAAAAAAAAAAAAAAAAAAAAAATTAAACCCTAAACTGTAACAAAGGGCTCCAAATGTGACCTCATATACATACATATATATATATTTATATACATATATATATATTCATATACATACATTTATATATATATATATTCACATATATACATACATTTATATATATATATATATATATATATATATATATATATATATATATATATATATATATATATATATATATATATATATATATATATATATATATATATATATATATATATTAGGGTGTCCCAAAATGACATGATTTTTTTAGTTTTTTAATTATTTCTATATTTTCAATCAGTTTCATATGTATTTTTATCTACTAAAAGCAAAAGAAAAAAAACAAAAAAAAATTTTTTTTCATATTTGACCCCCCTATTTTTAATAATCAACTATACTCAATTATTAAACGAAGAAGCAAAGAAATGATTGGTATAAGTTAACAATATTAAAGAAGAATGGGAATAAGTACTATGAAGTTCAAAATCTCATTTTTTTTCTCATTTTTTTAAAATTATTACAACAAAATAACAATATTTTATATTGTTAAATTGTAAACAATATTTTATATTGTTAAATTGTAATAATTTTAAAAAAATGAGAAAAAAAATGAGATTTTGAACTTCATAGTACTTATTCCCATTCTTCTTTAATATTGTTAACTTATACCAATCATTTCTTTGCTTCTTCGTTTAATAAAACAATATTTTAAAGATAAAAATAAAAAATGAAAAATAAAAAAATAAAATAAAGGGTAAAATAAAAAAGAGATTGTTTAAAGCATATTTTTTAAAATTAAGTTGTTGAATTGCTCGTTTATTTATGTGGGGAAGAACTTTTCAGTGGTGTTCTACTGCACGTAAAAGAAATTCTTTCTGCTCATCATCTTTTGTAATAGATGTTGCATAGTCTTAAATTAGTTTAATAGCTCGTTTTGCTATATCGTTTACAGATTTCAATGATTTGATATGCTCAAACATGTGATTAAAATTTGTATTAGCTTTCCAAAACTTTGGGGATTTTACCAATCAACCGTCATCCTCATTTGAATATTCGAATAAATTTAGAATGTTACTTGATTTTGGTTGAATTAAATCAATCAAACAAGTACTCTGCTTCAGAAAAGGAAATTGCGGAAAGCCTGTTCACAGTTTTCTTTTATATTTTTCAGAATTGTTTTAGCAATTTTAGTTTTATCTCGAATAAGATAATATATATAATATATATTTTCTTATTCGAGATAATGATAAGGTATATCAGAAAATAATGCAGATTAAATATTTCCAGGGCAGCAACAGCAACATCATTGTCAATTTTTTTATAAATAATGATGGAAGGCTCCAGGTTTGTGCCACTGTATATTTATTTGTTTTGGATTGAACAATTACAAAGCAAGTTGACAACATTCTTGATAATCATCTCTTAATATTTTTTGAAATTTCTGGTTAAGTAAACCAGACAAAAAAATAATTACTTCTGCTTGTTTGGTCTTTAATACTGGTTCTTCGATTTTTATTTTTCTTAGGCCGTACATCATTTTTAAAGTGTCTAAATGGCTCATAATTTGAAGATCTACATTCTCCAAAAACTTTTAAGTAAACAGAAGACAAAAGTAACTTTTTGTTAAAGGGTTCTTCAACTAACTTTGCAGAACCATTTATTCAACCTGAATTTGATGGAGTTGTGTCAAAAATCATTGCTACAAGTGTTTTTTCTAGTTTCCATGCCTTTACAGCATCTATGGTAGCTGTTGCCTGACTTCGCCCAGTTGTATTAGGAATCCTGGATACACACAACAATTTCCCTTCAGGTGCACTTGGTTTTCCTGTTACAACAATAGTTAAACGTTCCACTTTACCATCGATCTCAGATACCAGCTTTGAATTCCAATGAATGAAAGAGTACATGGGTGTAATGAAGGTTTTCTTAAGATCATCTGAAACTTGCTGTCGAATTTTATTACCTGATCTGTTCGCTGTGCTTTTTGAGATATTTTATTTAAATTGTGACCTAATGCTTCAGCTACAACTAAAATGATTCCAGATCTTTCTCTGTTGGATAGATTCAACCTATCAGTCATTAAGGAAACTTTAGGGTTTTCTAATATCTTGATTTTTTTTTTCTGTCTAGCAATAGTACTTTCTTCATTTTTATTATGAGTTTTCTCTTTATTATCAAATGCTACCAATACATGGAAACTTTTATATTTTTCTTTCTAGATTTCTCTTTTTCAATAGCCTTGATTTTATGTTTCTCTTTTTCCTCCTTTCTTTTCACTTTAATAACATAACTCTTGTCTAATGGGCCTAAAAATTGCTTTTTTAAGTGAGGCTGATCTGAGAGAAAGTCTATATCTGAGATCTGACTATTGATACTATGCGAGGTATATATATATATATATATATATATATATATATATATATATATATATATATATATATATATATATATATATATATATATATATATTTGTCTTTAAAAGTGCGAACCAGTGCCAAAATTAAAGATTATGGGGTTACCCATGAAGTATCTAAGGGGGATTAGCGAGAGGAGAAACCTGCAAAAAGCATTCAATAAACTAATGAGAAAGGAAGGGGTATGATTAATTTCAAAAGTGCATAAGCTATAATTTTTTTAAAATTAGAATTTTTTTAATAAATAATAAATTAGTATATAAAAATATTTTTAGAAGAAATATTAATTTATACAACTTTCTAAATTAAAACTTTTTTAATTTTTAAAAAGGAAGAAGGAGAAGTGGGGGTGATATTTCAAAAGCTTACATCCTTTTTTTTTTTTTTTTTTTTTTTGGGTACTTAGAATAATGCATAGCAATATGGTGAGGGGATTAAATTTTTATATTTATATCATATATAGTAAAAAATTTTACACTTCAACAAAATAATAATGAAAAAACCTAAATGATAACTCCCAATATCATTTGCTAAAGCTTTTGCTCGTTCTCTTGTTTGTGCTGATGAATTTTCTGTACCCATATAACAAGTCACAAATATCCTATTACATAACTCTTTTGGATCAGTTGGTATATACGTTGAGTCTTTTACAATATCTTGAATATCAGATATTGTCTGTAAACTCCCCTGTTTTATAGCATCACAAACAAGTCTACACATTGATGCAACAATGCATGCAGTTGCAGAACTGTCAACACCTAAATCATTAATTTAATTTTAAATGAAATTATTAATAATAATCAACAATAGTTATTATTTTACTATAATAAAAATAATTAGATTATATTATTAATAATAAACTCAATCATGATGCATGATTAGGATTACTCAGTAGTAAAAAAAATGTTAATTGCACTAATGCTCTTTGCTTTTATGTTCATTTTGGTGAATAGATATAATATATAAAATAATTTCAACAATAAACATAATTTAGTACTGCCTTAATGCAACTCTATTTTGTCAAAACAGTAAAATATATCAAAAATATGGGTGTTTTCACCTAATTGACGCCCTATTGAACTATAAGTCATATCCCAGGAGAGTCAGAAAACATTAAGATTACTTAGAGTAAGAAATATAATTACTGAAATCACTTTGCACAGTTTAGAAATTGTTTGCGGTGACTTTCAACAGTTTGAAACAGGAATTGTTTTTGCTCTTCCTGCTTTGTACCAGAAGTATTTAAATCTGTTGCAAGAGAATGTTGCAAGAGAATGTTGCAAGAGAATGTTGCAAGAGAATGACTGAAGCTGAAGAGTACTCAAGCAAGGCTTTGGCACATACAAGCAAAATAAACATCCAGAACTCTAAACAGGCAAAACGTTCACACTTAGTCATATGAAACTGTTCTTGAAAAAGATACAGTTTGTACAAATACAGTTTGTATGCGTACAGAATTTCAGACATCCACCTTGCATGATGATATGCCACAGGATTTCTAAATGATACCCCTCATGGTGGAGGCTCACCTAAGAAGATCAGATTAAGTTCAAGCAGTTCCTTGTAATCTTCTCTTGGAATTGGCAAACAATATTGTATTAGCTTTCATTCACTACAAATTTTTAGTTAGCCTTGTGTCAGAGCAACTTGTATATGATGCTTGGTCGATGACTGGCAGAGACTCCTCAAATCATCAAAACATATTGACCTGCTGTTGGACCAAAGACAACTGTTGTGGTCTGCATGCAAACCGCAACAGCTTTTTCTGTGAGCTTTAGTCTAGCAAGATGCGAGATCTATTTGAAATACCAGTGTTTGATGCAGTGGTATCAAATAAAATGCCAGCCACTTTATTGTGCAAGTCCCATTCAAGAAGTGTTTTGTAGGGAACTATAGCAATTTATTTTCCAGTTTCTTGAGCAATCTTGGGCCCAACAACTTTTCACCATTTACTCCAGTCACCATAACTGCAAAACAATCTTCTTTTTCTGATTTGCCATCAATAGCTAATTAATTCTAACTAGTTAATTCTAACTAGTTAATTCTTCATCATCTTCTATCAAATATTTTATGAAAGACCGCTGAGCAAAAATTTATCCTCAATACTCATTAAATTCACTGCACCACAGTGTTTCAAGTCAAAGAGTTGATTTTTTGATTTCTCATATTCTGATTCCTTGGCATATTGAGATACTGTCTTTGTCCCTTATTGCTGCATATGTTTATATAGTGGTCAAGTATATTTTCAAGCTTTCAAATAATATTTTTGTTTTCTGCAGTTGGTACTCCTGCCTTGCTCCAGATTTCACAGACCTTTTGTATTACTACATTTATGGCTTTTTACTGAGAAACAACAAGAACTTTGTGTTGGTGAAAATATACTTTCAACACATTCCAGCCTGTTGGTAAATTGTGTCTATCAAATTCTTTATACAGTTCTCCAATTAAATGTAAAATAAATACTATAGTATTTATTATTATCTCTTTTTCAGGTTAGTTTACTCAATTATGGCAATAAAACGTTCACAGACGTTGTATATACATATATACTGTATGGCAATAAAACGTTCACAGACTGGCAATAATAAAACGTATGTTAACACAGATTGTTAACAATAAAGCGTATATACATACATACTGTATGGCAATAAAACATTCACAGGCTGTTGTACATACATACATACATACATACATACTGTATATATATACAACAGTATGGCATAAAGCAATTTAAAGCAGTAAATCAATAGCATTATATGATCAATTACCACAGCTCAATTGTGGGAATAGTGTGTAACTTAACTATCATAACTAAACCTGGGATAGGGGCCTGGGCCTATTACTCAACATACTTGTACTTTGTACTAGCAATATATGAGTAATTACTCCTTAGTTTAACAGTAAATTATAAAAAAATCACTCACTCCACTTCCCAAAAAACTGTATAATTTGCAAATAAGTAAATTACTGAACAGTACGCAAACATTTACCTGAATAAGCACAACCGAGAGTGAAAAAGAACTGATTCTTAATAAATAGATATCTAAACTTTGAGTGGATTAAGGCAGTACTAAATAACTTTTAAATTTAAAAATAATTTTCACTTTTCTTTTTTAACACAAAAGGAACACAAAACCTAATGAGCACCAAAAATATGAGCTTTTTAAATTTTAATCCACTATGAATCTTTCTCATAAATATCCCTATTACACAGGTCAAAAAAAAACTTCTTGCAACGTTGATGCTTTTTTTTTTTTTTTTTTTAACATCTTCACTTCCAACAAGGCAGCAAGCAACCACTATAAGAGTTGGAAGTTACTGGAAGAGAAAAGACTAAATCTGTAGAGCAAGATAACGATTGACTGATGACTTAAAAGATTGCAAATTATATGAATCAGGAAAGCAAGATGAAGGAAGCGAATTCCAAAGAACTGATGTTCGAGGAAAAAAACTAGAAGAATAAGAGTTTTTGAAGCACTTAGGAACAGTCACAGAAAAAGGATGAGACTTAATTGAATGGCGAGTAACACGAGAATGAATTTTAGTAGATGGCACAAGGGACGCTAGCTCTTTAGAGCAGTGCCCATTATAGTATTTGTAGAAAAGAGAAAGAGAAGCAACATTACGACGATGTGACAAAGGTTGGAGATTGGCTGCCAGAGCAGGTCCAACTATGTTTACAATTCGTTTTTGCACCTTGTCTAAAAGAGAAAGAGCATCATTAGAAGATCCGCCCCAGATGTGGCAACAGTATTCCATACAGGGACGGATTTGAGATTTATAGAGATAGAGAATAGAATCTGGAGTAAGAAAGTGTCGAGCTCGATAAAGAGATGCAACCTTAGCAGATGCTAATTTTGCAATGGATTTGATATACGGTTTAAAAGAAAGATCAGAAGTAAGAGTTAATCCTAGAAGATGAATGGTAGATGACTCATCTAGTACATTACCATTCATAAATATAGGAAGATCTAAATTATTACGATAACGATTGGCCGAATAAAATTGAGTTTTATCTGAATTAAAGTTCACCAGCCACTGTGAGCCCCATGCTGTAGCAGAAGTGAGATCCTTTTCAAGCTCAGATACCCCCTCCAAGCAATCAGAGAGTGTAGGCTTCTTATCATGACAAGAGTAAATGGTAGTGTCGTCAGCGAATAATGCCACCTTAGATGTGAGAATATCTGGAAGATCGTTAATGTAAATTAAAAAGAGTATAGGGCCAAGGATTGAACCTTGAGGAACCCCTGAAGTTACAGGACGTTACCAGCTACACCATAAGAAGAAAGCTTATGGAGAAGACCAGCATGCCAAACTTTATCAAAAGCTTTAGAAATGTCAAGTGCGATAGCCTTAACCTCTCCACCTCTATCTAATGCACGGTAAAACCTATCGGTTATTACTGTTAGCACATCAGCTGTAGAACGAGAAGACCGAAATCCATATTGATGGTCAGAAAGTAAGTTATTTGATTCAAGATGAGAGATTAAGTGTTTGTTAATTAAAGATTCAAAAACCTTGCTTATGACAGGAAGAAGACTAATGGGACGGTAGTTAGATGAATCAGATCGCTCTCCGGAATTTTTGAAAATAGGGATAACAGATGCTGCTTTCCAGCATGATGGAAAACAAGACTCTGATAAGCACTTGTTAAATAGTTTAGAAAGTATGGATGAAAGCTCTGGAGAACACCTCTGCAAAACTACAACAGGAATGTTGTCAGGACCACAAGCTGTTGAAGAGTCTAAGCAGGAAATTACTTTAGATACAGAAGCTGAAGTGATGCGAATGTCAAGCAAGGGATCAACCTGTTTGACGGCTATGTCAGGTAAAACGCAACTAGTGGAATCAAGAGATGATATTGATGAAAAGTTCTTAGCAAACAATTCAGCTTTGTCTTTAGGTGAGGTGACAAAGTCTGAACCATACAAGAGAGAAGGAATAACAGATTTGCCCTTATTATTGATACTGTTAAAGATTCTCCAGAAGTCTCGAGAGCCTAATTTTTGTGATGAGATACGAGATTTAATGACCTGGGAATAGCGAGTTTTGGCGTCAGACAAAACCTTTTTACAATGGTTTCTGGCGATAGTGAACAGATGTCTGTTTTCTGGAGAATTGTTTTGCTGATAGATATGGAAGTAACGGTTTCGATCAGAAATTGCTGCAGCGCAATGTGAGGAAAACCAAGGAGAAGAGTGAGGCTTAACCTGGAATCGTCGAGAGGGAATAAAAGATTCCATGCCAGCCTGAATCCACGAAGTTATGTAAGAAGCAAATTTGTCAGCAGGAAGACGAAAGATTTCTACCCAAGGGCCATCACGAAGAAAATCACGGAAAGAGTCCCAGTCAGCTTTAAGGTAGTTGTATGTGGTACGATGATAGGGGGATTCTGATGAAGTAGAAGAATTTGATAATAGTTTTAGAGAGATCAAACCGTGATCAGAAGTACCTAAGGGTGAATGTGGAGAAATTGAGCACTGACTAGGATCCAAAACAAGACATAAGTCGAGTAGAGAAGGTAAATGATTAGGGTTGTCTGGAAAACGAGTTGGAAAGTTGACTATTTGAGTTAGAGATTGAGAAAGGCAAAAGTTGAGGGCCTTATCGCCAGCAGAGTCACTGACACTAGAGCCAAGCCAATCGGTGTGATGGGCATTAAAGTCACCAACAACGACGATATTGGCCGATGGATAAAGAGAGAGGGCTTGGTCAATTTGATCAGAAATAACATCAAGAATAGTGCAATCTTGGGATG